AGATAGATAGATAGATAGATAGATAGATAGATAGATAGATAGATAGAGTTGTACAGCTGAACGTGTACTTCAGAAAAGTCTCAGTAACGATACTATTACATAAGAACTCATTTCCAGTTCGAAACAGGACTGAGGCTTCTTGTCTGAGTCAAGAATAATTATGGTGCAGGGGGCAACCCATGACAAATGACCCGACAGATACACCAGCTTCTGTTGTACTGTATAGCTGTGGATTTCCTGCCGGACATGACAGGAATCAACTACTGCCCAAACATTCAGCACGTAAAGGTGAAGAAAGAAGGGCCTGTGATGCACGTGGCTCTTTGGGTCAGCATCACGGCCGTTAGGAGCTGACCCGCTTTGCCTTTTCCTGTGGAATGTTGGCACATTTCTTCGCCCGCCTCTCCTTCACACTAACTCTGAACTTCAAACGTCTTCTTCGCAGAGCCCCGTCAGATCCGTCAGCGGCGGGCGTGCGGCCGCCCGTTGCAGCCGACTCGGAGGTGTACAAGATGCTGCAAGAGAACCAAGAGTCGGACGAGCCGCCCAGACAGTCCGCCTCCTTCAAGGTGCTCCAGGAGATTCTGGAGACAGGTGCTGGGAGGTTTCACATCTGCAGCTTTCTCTGCATACATGCGTAGCACCAGAGACGCCTGCTGCTCCTCAGTCTGCGCGTCTAATGTTTTGTTTGTTTGTTTGTTTGTTTTTCAGGCGACGCAGATAAACCGTCAGGCTTCAGGAGTGTGAAAGCGCCCACTACAAAGATGGGATCTTCAGTGGGGAACACAGAGAAACTACCCAGCTGTGACAAATGCGGCTCGGGGATCGTGTGAGTATCAGCTCAAGGGGTTTTGCTTTTATTCTTTTTATATCTGTACTTAAGGAGGATACGTGGCCATTTATGGCTTCATATTTTACATGACTGGGTTTACAGCTGCTGTCCATCTCCCCCCTTGTTCTCATGCTCAGAAACATGGATGGTTATTTACGCCTCCTGGTGGCCGAGTGCTGTAAATGCATCAGACCCCAAACCCCTGCTCTACTTGAACCTTTTCAGTCTAGTTTTTATTATCTTATCTTATCCTTAAATTTCAACAAATGCTCTGACTGTTTCTGTTATTTTTCAGTTAATTCAGTGCCTCGATGATACACCTCCATAAATTACCAGAGGATTTCATCATGTTAAACCAAATTAAATGTCTTTAGTAAGCAAGAAAAACATAATTCATCCTGGATTAGGTTCTGATCTTTCTTCCCTCTGATCACACTACCCTTTTTTCTCACCTTACCCTCACGGGTCGTTTTAAAACGTGCATCATAAATCAGTCAGGCTAACGCCTTGAAACCGTTCAGGTTTGACCAGCTCTCTGTATTTACTCTCCAGGGGGATGGTAGTCAAGCTGAGGGACAAGTTCCGTCACCCGGAGTGCTACACGTGCACAGACTGCGACATCAACCTGAAACAGAAGGGACATTTCTTTGTGGAGGATCAAATTTATTGCGAGAAGCACGCGCGCGAGCGGGTGACCCCACCTGAGGGCTATGACGTGGTCACCGTCTTCCCCAAGTAGAGCTCTTACTCCACCCGGCCTCGGACTGCACACCACTTTAGCACAGGACAGAAAGTTTAGCTCCTGCTTCTTCTAAGACTATAAGACGGTCCTTTTGTCACATTGCGCTTCAGAGAGTAAAGAGCTTCATGTCTGAAATGATGATTTGCACATTGACTTTGACCTGTATGCCACCAGAGGACTTTTCTCCCTCTGGTGAGCTTTTGTATTACAGACTCTGTCGTAGTCCTGTTTTTCACTGTCTTTCAAAAAAATCATGAAACGATTGCAACCAAAACGTAACATTCACAATTTTTTTATGAAATTAAATACGGTTTTATACATCAAAATTGAGAAACGTACATTAAAGCATAATTTGCAAAATAAATATTTTTAGCTTGAGCCTGTTCTCTGTCTCCATTCTGCTCTCGGGCAGGCTCTGCATGAATGCTTGGGACTGTATATATGCAGGGTGGGGGCTTTGTCCCCCCCCAACCTAACCCTAACCCTTATTTTTTCAATTTTATTTTTGCAGGGTGTGTATCATAACCAGTTTAAGTGCCTTAGAATAAAACCCAGGACAATTCCAATGCGTCGAAGTGAGTGGTAAGACGAGAAAGAGACGTCTAAGAACCCGAATTAGTCACGTGACTGCAGGTGCCGGTTTAATTGCTGAAGGAAGGAACTGCTGTGACATCAATTGCCTCGAGTCTGAAACTTCTCCATGTTTCCTGTGCATGTTACTTTTTGTTCAACCACGATTAGTCGTTTTTGTTTTTTTTGTTTCAGCAGTTCCTATCACACTCAATGGTGCCAAGTACTATTGATGAAATCACTGCCTCCGCACAGAGACGTGAAATAAAACTTAAGGGGAATCGAGCCGGACCCCTCTCTGGCGGAGGCGTCCGCCGAGCTCACGCGACAAGAGCCCGGGGGCGATGCGGAGTCCCACCCGGCCGAGCAGTCGCTCACGGGGCTGTCCAGGTCCAGGTCCGGCACCGCCGCGGGCGGGTGGTCACCGGCGTGGCCCCGCTGCTCGCCCATGCGCAGAGTCTCCGCCAGGACCCAGATGTAGTTGCGGGCGAAGCGCAGCGTCTCGATCTTGGTCAGCTTGGCGTCTTCGGGGAGCGCCGGCAGGATGCTCCTCAGCGCGTCCAGGGCGGAGTTGAGGTTGTGCATCCGGTGGCGCTCTCTGTCGTTCGCCTTCACCCTGCGCCGGCCGCGCCGGGCCGACTGCTCCTCTCTGGGTTTGGGGCTCTTCGTTCGGGACGCCCGCCTCGCAAACACTTTCAGCGGCTTCCCCGGGGCGGCGTCAGGCTCCCCTTCGGGTCCGGTGATGTCCGGAGACGCGTGCGCGGCCCCGAGAGCGCGCAGGTCGTTTGGGGCGCACCACAGTTTGAGGGACATCCTGAAACAGAGGGACGCTCGAAATGAGAGTCGGAGGAGATGCGTGCTCAAAGGCTGTGACAGTAGTCGTTTTAAAAAAGCTTTCTTAAACAACTTTTTAGCAACTGAATGCAACAGAGAGCGACACGTTCATTTCCACCTGCAAATTACTTTGAATAAGCTACACTCTCCAATTGAGATTTGATTAGTTTAAACATCCATTTTTTTAAAAAATCATGCAGATTTTAAAATACGTAATTTGCATCTCTTTCTTGGAAAAAAATGTATCTGTAAAAAAAAATCAAACAAGAGTCAGAATCCCCAGACGGGTGGATCTGTTTGCACTTACGTTTGTACGTGTGACAGGTGAAACGAGGATGAAGAGACAGTTGTCCTCCTGCGGCAGACAATGAGGGATGGGTACGCATCTCCGTCATTTTATATGGCCTTTATCTTATCTTCCTGCACCGTGGATGCCTGAATCAACAGCACCTGTCAAGCAGCCAATCAGCTTCTAGGCAAGCCTGGTCCCCTCCAAGCTCTCCCCTCCGTCCAGGTCCTTCTGTCTTATTTGGAGACAGTGAACAACGCGCGTCCGGGGTCGGCATCTTAAAGAAATGCAAATTCAGAACCGATGTTGGCACAGGGTTGCAACAGTCTTCATTCTCATCTGGTCAGAGGTTTTGTGTTCTGTGGATGTCGATCATCAAATGCTATACAGAACTCAGTAAAATCTCGATTTTAATTGTCTTTGAGATCATACGGTTGTTCCTTGTGCCGGAGAGAAACGTTTAAGAGTTTTGAAACAGAAAACCTGTCACGGCGTACAAATAAAAACGTTACATGATATTACATGACGTGCATGAATATGGTCACAGTTGGAGACCTCCAGTGTGCCATTATTAATCAATGCTTTGCTATTTCTGCCATTAGTGGCAACGATGACGCAGGGGGTACCTGTAAACCACACTGGTTAACTAATTTTTACTCCGTGGGAGCACAGTAAATGTTTAACGTGCCATTGCATTTAATTTTACACACATTATTTGGGTCTTACTCTTGCAAATGTTACCTAAACTCCAAATCCTCTTGCGGTTCCTGCGTTGCCACCGTTTACGCACTGAAACGCACACCTGATGCCCCACGATGCTCAGGGTAATAATGGTAAGTGTGCAGATTGGGAAGGAAACATATTTCTTTCCTCTCAAACCATGTATTAACGTTGGTTTTACGATGTTTATATAGCTTTTTGACAAGAACAATGGTGCGTATTTGTGATTTTTGCGCATATCTCGTCACCCGGATTGACCTGATCGAGGCGAAAAATATGAGAATATTGAGTCCATATGAATTAATAGTTATTTGTCTTATCAAGATATTTGAATGCTACTTCTTGTTGGAATGTAAAACAATAACCTGTACCAGATTTTAAATAATGAATGACGTATGTACGTGGATAAACGTTAACTTATTGCATTGGGGCGCACAGATTTGCCATTCAGACAACGACAATTACGCACGAGGCCAGCTAATAAAGAAGAATTATTTGAGTAAAACCTGTCATGTGAGTTTAAAGTACAAAGGGTCCTTTTAAGTGTCCCACCAATAAAAGCTCAATTTATCATTCCATGTGAGCACATACCTGTGCGCTATGACCTCTCCAAACTTGCCCACAGTCGCCACAACTCTATGACGCATTGACTTATTTTGTGATACAGCTCGTTATTATAGAAGGTAAAAGATTAGTTTGATATGCCAGCGGCATTCAGACACACTCTGGCTCCGATGGTGGGAGACAAGGGGGTGTGCCAGAGCTCAAAGATGATTTACAATTGCTAACCAAGCCTCACAAAAAGCTCTCCTTAACTTTCTGTCTAAATATGTGTTTTGGAAACAATCTGGCAGCCATATGCTTTCCATAAACTGGTCAAATACACTCGGAAGATAGGAGATGGTAGCTCACTGTTATAAAAAGGCATGGAAACTCCAAAGTAAACTGGATATTACCACTTTACAAATAATCATTGATGCCAAATCCATGTTCGGATATCGGAGACAGGTGTGGGTTTGAAGTTGTCAGACTCTCCTTGATTTTTTTTTCTTTATCAGCGTGCTGTGTGCTGCTTGTTATGCAAAGTGTAGGCAAACATAAGCTCCCAGTTGCTGTGGAAATGGCAGATATGGGAGCAGACCTGCTACGAAAAGTGATTTAACAATATTTAACAATAAACCTCGGAGCAGGTGATACCTGCCCGATGCTCCTGATTAATGCTTCCTCTACTACTTCACTTTACAGTCTCCTTTGCTTATTTATTAGAGGAAATCTATTTATTATTACTTTAGCAAACAGAGGTACCAGGTGGGGCTTTATTTCCGTATTCAGCTTTTTGTTTGAAGGACGTTTTGAGGGGGACAATCAAAGTCCGACAACTCGCTGACCAGATTGTTGTCATCCCAAACTAGCAGCGAAGCCATTCAATGCGCCCCCTCCTCTTGTTCAGTCTGGCAAAGAGCTGTTGGGAGAGAGAAAAAAGAAAAGAAAAACTTCTTCAGCAAAGGAAAAACATCTTAAAAACATTTAATTGCAACCCGGATGCCATATGTACACCTCTTGTGAGACCCCACAACAATGTGACTGCCTTTTAGAAAGTATAGAGTGCGCCTTTGGAGACGTGTGCGTCTTTGGAGAGGTGCGTGCGTTGTGACCAGCATGACCCCGAACACACTTTGAACAAGACGTAATTCACTTTTAATGTGCTTTGGAGTCTCCTTTCACAGGCAATGCATTGTAGCTCTCACCCCAGCTTTTGAAGGCAGTGTACACCAATTACAGTGGAGTCGCTGGGCTTTGGAGACGGCTTGTCTTTTTGTAAAGATTGTAGATTCCAGGCAAAAATGGGGCTGTCTGCAAGTCGCTCCCCTTCACCTCTTTAACTGCTGCACAATACATATATATTTCTTTGTCTCTAATCGCTTATTTACTATGAAAAAGTGAGTGTTCACGAGTGCCCCTTTCTGGAAGAAAAGAATGAATGGGAACTTTTCCTTCTTTGGATAAACGAAGCCTGCTGTTTAGAGTTGATTGGATTCAATTGACAATGTAATATTTTAATTCGAATTATTTAATGATTTTATTGCAGATTGATGCAGTTGATTTAAACAACTTTCTCTAAATAGGAAGACTTTAGCAAGAATTAAAAGAATAGTTTGACAATTTTCAGGAGTCGATCATGACCAAATAGCTCTTCAATTCTGAAAAGGAACTCCCAATACTTATAATATTTACTTGATGTGGAAAGTGTGAGCATTCAAAGGAAAAGAAAACAGTGGCATCTTAAATATGAGGACCCCAAGCTGGCAATAAAATAAAATTTCATGCAGTTTTAGAGCAAGTTTCAAGTTTATACAGACTTGGTAAACGGGGGGTTTGATTTCAGTATAAAACAAAAATGATGATACTTGTAGCGTACTGGGGGCCTCAGTTAATATAGTGGATTATCAATATATTATTAGGAGCCACAGTCATCTGCCAGAGGTCTGTGGTTTGACTTCCAGCCTGGCCTGGACACAGGTTCTTCGGTAAAACACTGAACCCCACTTTGCACCAACTGGTGTGTGAATGTGTGTGACAGAGGGGGAAAAACACACCAGACCCTTTAACATTAGATGGCCTAGACGTGTAATTGCACTTTTGAGTGTTGAACCAGAGTAGAAAGAACTCTTAGTTTTCCATTATTATCATACTGTTGCATGCAGTTACAGCAGTTTTGGAAAAACAACGACTTGCATCTTTTGTTTCTATTTTGGAATTCCAACATTACAACAAAATTGGACACATCTAGCAGAAACTCAAATTGACTGTATTGGGTATTCCAGTTTGGATGATTTTTTCCCAGCAACTGTGTCAACTTGCAAAAGCACTGTGAAAAGGTAAATACACAACGTGGTTCTTGTCCATCAGTCAGGCAAGCAAGGGCATTGAATAAGTGAAGGACTTCTGAGAGGATGAGTCTGTCTCATTGTTGTGTTGGAATTTCAGCCCACTATGCTGTACAAAGCAGTGTCAGTTCAGTGAATGTGGACAGACTTTTTGGAACACTCCCATATGGGTTTCTCTGAATGTGCTGCAGTGATTTATGTTCAGACATCTTCATTTTGGTACATTTCTTGAAATACAGCTGTGTAATCTAGAGCCGTTCCACCATGTCCTTTTTTCCTCGGAGTCTTTTTCATGGAACACATGTTATGTCATGTTATTTTTGTTGTTGCAGTATGCAGAAGCTTCGTGTTTTCACACCCCAAATTAAGCAAAACAACTTTCCGCTTCATTACAAAATAACCCGTGATGCCTTCATGTACACTGAAAATATGGAAACTTTGGAAGGTCAGATTTTAAAGCGAGGCAATCACAAAGTTGTAAGTCAAAGTATTAACTTTTCTTCTTCTTATCCTTTTTCTTCTTAAATGATGATGATAACAACACAAACAATGATTGTAATTGTTAATAACGATTATTATGATATCATCACTATTATTGTTGTTGTCGTTAATATACAATGGTCATTATTATATTATTTTAAGAATAACTATCAAGTAGGCCTACGATTAATTCATAAGTACTTTTATATAATACCTATTATAAGATAATCATAATCATGATTTTTATCGTCAGTAGAAGTAATAGTAGTTGTAATGAACACTCCACCATCTGACATTAAACATTTATTCAATTTGTTTTGATACGCGAATTTTCATTTTTACTTTTGGTCTTTGAATGTAGCACCGGAGTAAACAGTTGTTGGTGTAAAACACACTGCCCGCCATCTCTAATATTGTAGATCTACAAGGCACGCGGACACCGTGTGGCTAACGGGCTTCTATCCAGCCAGAGCGTTGTCAGATCTACACATGCGCAGTTACAGCCTACTCGGCTACTTCCTGAATCAGGGGTTAGCTTGCTTCGGGGCTTGATAGTAGCATGTTGATGCGAGCCGAGGACTTGGGTTGGCAGCTGGAGGTGATTTTCCCGAGAAGAAGACGATAAGAGGACCCGTGGTGACAGTTTACCTCGGCGGCATGGATTACTGGGTAGGAGTCGCTTCGCATTATACCCTGTTGTCACGTTAAAAACAGTGCAGAATGACAGTGCTGCTAGAAGACGCTTAAAGGAGACTTGTTTATCAGTCGTGAAGGGAGCTAATGACCCGGCCGTTTGTTCTAATGGATGCACCGAGACCACGGTGTTTTCGACCGTGACCCTCGTTATCAGGGGATTACTCTACGTTTATCGCTGTGCGTGAAGGAAACTCACATTGATACTTTGGCCACTGTGTTGGACTCATTATGTGAGGTCGTCAACATGTTTCTCTATTTTTTTTTTTTTACTTCATGACTGAAATATTGGACATTTCCCTGGCCCAGAAAAAGTTTCGTGCCGGGTCTGAGAAGGTCCGAACCAAAGGTCCGCTCGATGAGGGACTTCCTCTATGGAGGGTTTTAAAAACTCCCATTGTTTAATGTCGCACACACGGGGCGAAGTAGGAGATCCTGTTCAACACAAACCTGCAGGAAGTCAAAACAATGTATTATTCTGAGCCAGAGAGGGGCTCAGATTTATGGAGCTCTCCTTATTGCTGCACTATCAGCTGTCGCCTCTAACTTCAGATAGACAAAAAGAACTCAGAGGTCAAGTCATCTGACACACATCTGCTGTCAGTGCAAAGTTTACTGTCTGGCTTCTTTTTTTTGTGTAGATCAACAGGATCAGAGGCAAAAAGAAGTTTGCTTAAATAGCTTATCTTGATTTTGGTCTTGGACCTTGTGGGAAGTTTTCATGACTGAGAGACCCCCCCCCTTCCCTCAGGGGGCTTTTGCAGGCTGCTTAAGGGAAACTTTCCAGACACCGCAGCTGTAATTATTCCCCCCCCCTGAATGGCTCCCCTTTGCCTAAAAGCCCGTGGACATGTCGTGCCACCTCAGGTTTTCATGAGAACACGACCTCCCCCGTGGCAACAAAAGCTCTGATTTCAGCGCCGTCAGATGTTGTGTTCTGAGAGAGGGGGGTGAGCAAAGAAAAAAAAAAAAGGAATGGGCGTCCACGGCTCCACAATGAGCGAGACAATGCCGGTACGAGAGCCTTTGTTTGAACTGGGTTTTAAGTTTTCTGAGGCAGAGGAGGGTCCGGAGGAGCGTGGGTGGCTGAGAATGTTCCGGATATCAGAGAGGGGCTGGTCTCTTTAGGTCAGGCCGGCTCGTGGCCGACGCTGCCGCTGTCAGCTGGTGTCTGTGGAGCCCGAACTGACCCATACACAGACCGTGTTTGGGTGTGTGTGTGTGTGTGTGTGTTTTTTTACATTCATGAGAACTCCCGTCTGATCGGTGGCTCCCTTCGAGCGGCAGTTCTGGCCAAACCTGAATGATAAGCTGCTGTCAGAGCAGGCAGGTTCCACAGCTGCTCTCCCCTCTGCTGAACAATCACCCGAAACAGAGAGAAAAGCAACTTTCATTTGAGCGAGTCTGGCACACAGTCTGCAGACGGCTCGTCACGCACCCCTTCAGGTTAGGAAAAAAGGCCCACTGGTCTGTTAGGCAACATGTCCGTTACACAATGGGGGCTTGCCTCATTGTGCTGTTATGTGATGTTTATTCCAGATGTCACTGATTTGTGATCAGTTAAGATAACAGCTCTTGAACCTTAAGCTTTCTCCCTCTGATTACGGCTGATGTGGAGAGTCCTCAGGCAGTGGTGGAGAGATAAAGGAGTTTTTTTTTGCTTATGCAATTGTAATGGGATGCCTTTTAGTGTTTCTCTGTGAATTTGTCCGCAAAGCCACGGCAAGTCCACATCGTACAGATTGATTTTTTTTTTTTCTGTCCGGGCTGTTGAGGCCAGAAGCACAAGCGTGCCTTTATTCATATCTCACATTCGCGTTCAGCCCGGACTTGTTTGGTGTGATAGTGACTGATCGCAGCACGTCCTCACAGCTGGCTGGATGCCCTTTTACCGGCCGGGGCGGGGGCGATGGGAGGAGTTGGGCGGTAGTCATCCACCTCGCTGAGAGCCTCCGCTCACTCTCACCTGGAGGAAGGAGCAGCTGAGCATTTGTAAAAGTTCTGACCTCCATTGTGTAGTCTTTTTCTTTTTTTTGGAGTGTGAGTGGGAATGACAATGGCTTCAGATGTAAGTACCTAAACTGAGGAGGCAGGGCTGTGTGCTCTGAGAGCCTTTGTCTTCAACAGCGTCTCTGTTTGCAGAGTGCCTTGGAGGTGTACAAGGAGATGCTGCTGCTGTACCTGGAGGAGGGCCGGCGGCACGTCAACTCCCGCTGTTCGGGGCTGGAGCCGTGGCAGATCATCGGAGCCACGGTCCTCACCACGCTGGGAGCCGTCTGGGTCAAAGGCCTCCTCTTCCAGCAAGAAAGTAATCCTCTCACACGTGACTCATGAGCAAAGAAGCTGTCCCGCTAAGATGTGAATGACGGCTGACGCAGAGCGCCCGAGTGCGCTTTTCCTTCTGCATTTTGCTGCTCTGCGTTTGTAGATAACAGAAGATTTTTCCAGCCTGCCAACCTGCTGAGTGCTATCTCGAAATTAGAGCAGGGTTTATGATGACATCATTCCTTTACGCTACCCAGCATTTGGTCTGTAAACGTGTGGCGCTTTCTGCCCAATGTGCCTTCCAATCAAAGCCGCCTTTGGCCAAATATGTAACCAAAGCCAACAACAAGGGCAGAAGTAGAATTAATTTACAGTGAAAGTCAGGAGGTGGAAAAAGGTTCCTCAAAGTGTGGGGAGAAAACTGCTTTGTCTGCATTTGTGATTTTCAGATTGCGTCTGGAGTTGGACATGCGAGTGTTGGCCACAGTTTCACCACAGCCGTCTGTTTTTTTTTTTTGGTTAACAGGTCTCACATCCCGAATCAAGAAGAAGTGCTTCCGACTCATCAGAAAAATCCCCTTTGTTGGCAGAACAGTAAGTGCTGGAGCTCGATCTGCTCTTTCTCTGGCGTCTGATGCTCTCATGAGTCACCTCTTAATGACTTCATAACCAGAGCGGAGGGAGGGGTGGCCGTGGGACCTTTGACACGCTTTGCTGTCGCACTCACGATAACGCGTTTGTGCCGCTGCTCCGTCTCCCCTCCCTTAGTGGGGGGGAATGGCAAGCTGCATTGTTCCGGTACGTTTTTGCCTGCAAAGTAACTGGGATTCTCTTTCATTCAGATCCAGGGGCAGCTGAACAAGGCTTTGGACGACATGTCTCTCAGTCTGTGTACTCTGAAAGAGGGCATGAGCTACACCAAAGAGCTGCCCCCTAAAGGTCTCGCCCAGAGCCAGGTGATGGAAAAAATCAAAGAGTATGAGACCCTGAGTAAGTGAACGTTTCTCCCAGATTGTTTGTGTTTTTGTTTCGTCCCCCCCTCCCTCCCCCAGTGCTGATGTTCCAATTCTCGGTAGGTTTTCCCGTCAGGGAATAAGTATTTCTCGGAGGCAGATTTGTGAGGACACAATGTTTCCTTTCAGATGATGTTCAGTGGGAGAAAGGCTGCGTTTCTGGTGCCGTGTACTGGGGCGACGAGTCACTGACCAAACTCCTGGTGAAGGTGTGCATCTTTGTATACATCTCGGGACCTTTCCCGGCACAAAGAATCGAGCCCCCACCTTTTAATCAGATATGACTTTCCGTTTGTTTCTGTTGCTGTCCGCTCCCTCTGCGATCGCTGAGATCTGTCGTCATGACCTCTTTTCCTTTTTCTGAAGGTTTATGGAGACTTTGCGTGGAGCAACCCCCTTCACCCGGACATCTTTCCCGGGGTGAGGAAGATGGAAGCCGAGGTTGTGAGAATGTCCTGCGCGCTTTTCAACGGTGGACCAAACTCCTGTGGCACGGTGAGTGGGCCGGCGGCAGAGAGGTAAACGCACATGGACGCGCACATCTGGATCTGACGTGTCTGGTCGTCTTCTCCCCTCTTTGTCCAGGTAACTTCAGGAGGAACAGAGAGCATACTGATGGCCTGTAAGGCCTACAGAGACATGGCCTACGAGCGGGGCGTCAAATACCCCGAAATGTAAGACGGGTTTAAAAAGCTGAGTTAAGACATTTCCTTTGTGACGTTCCCCAGGTCAGTTTGTTAAACAACACAGTTTTTGTATCTGGCAGCCTGGCACCCGTGAGCGTCCACGCGGCCTTCGACAAAGCAGCACATTACTTTGGGATGAAGCTGGTTCACATTCCCCTCGACAAGAAAACCATGAAAGTGGACGTAAAGGTGAGAACAAAAGACAATGTGTGTGTGAGAGCGACTGCTTCCACCGGATGTTAGTAACACTATTCCGCCGTTGCTCCCTGACAAGGCTATGAAGAGAGCCATCAACAAGAACACAGCTATGCTGGTGTGCTCAGCCCCTCAGTTTCCCCACGGAATCATGGATCCTGTGGAGGAAGTGGGCAAGGTCAGAAATGCAGCATTATTCCCTTAAATCATATTTTTCTAAAAATGAAATAAAAAATTCCTGACGCTTTACCCAACCCCCCTTTGTGTTTTGCAGCTAGCGCTGCGCTACAACCTCCCTCTACATGTGGACGCCTGTCTGGGGGGGTTTCTCATTGTTTTCATGGCTAAAGCCGGTTACACGCTGGCTCCTTTCGACTTCAGGGTAAAGGGCGTGACCAGCATCTCTGCGGACACCCACAAGGTGAGCGGGCCCTTTATTCTGTTGTGTTACTCTCAGTTCAGTTCAAATGTATTCGTGCAGCACATTAAAAGAGGGTCAGCCTCACCATAGAAAATGCATAATGCATAATATAATCACTGTTTAAGAAAGTCACCAATAAAATGGCGATTATATCAGAACACAAATGTATGAGAAATGTGCTTCATTGTTGACGACGGTATGCTTCTGATTCGTGAAATACCTCCGCATTGCATTTTTCTCCAGTACGGCTACGCCCCCAAAGGGTCCTCCGTGATCCTCTACAGCGACAAAAAGTACCGGCAGTACCAGTACTTTGTGGCTCCAGACTGGCAGGGGGGGATTTACGCCTCGCCCTCCGTGGCGGGCTCCAGGCCGGGAGGAATCATCGCTGCCTGCTGGGCGACCATGATGCACATGGGAGTGAACGGCTACGTGGACGCCACCCGGAAGATCATCAGCACCTCCCGCAAGATCAAAACCGAGTGAGACACGCAGGGTGTCAGTGAGGCTGCAGCAGCCCCCGTCGGCTCTGAAATTCATTAATCTCTCCCTTTCCCCCCCCCTCTTTTTGACAGGCTCCAGAAGATAAAAGGGATGTTTGTTTTCGGGGACCCAGAGGTGTCGGTGGTGGCGATCGGCTCGGATGTTTTTGACATTTTCCGACTCTCAAACGCACTGACGACAAAGGGCTGGAACCTGAACACCCTGCAGTACCCATCCAGGTTTGGCCTTTTATAGGGGAAAAAACTAAGCCGAGGGGATTTAACGGTGTGTTGCGGACTCACAAGTGCCTCATCTGCTCTTTCGCAGCATCCACATCTGTTGCACGCTTTTGCACACCCAGAAAGGGGTCGCCGAACGCTTTATCAGCGACATCAAAGAGCAGGTGGCCATCATCATGAAGAACCCCAAAGAGAAAACCACAGGAATGGTGAGTCGCCCTGTAGTCAGTCTGCATGGGGTTTTGTCTGGTGGGCATACTGCCTCCTCAGACCTAACCAATAGATGATTGAATTCATGTAGCAAACATGTGTTTCTGCTCTGCACATTTCACGTATGTTGTATTTTAGATTTACATCCCTTTTTAAAGTATCTACTCAGAAAGACTTGGCACTCAAAAAATGCAGTTTTTTTATTTTATTTCTTCTTTTAGTGAACACAAAGCAAGCGTGCAAACGTCCAACATTTTAATATCTATGAATAATAACCGCTTTCATTTTTATGTTTGTATTGCTTAGATATGCAGTCAAGTGAGTCAAAACATGTCGCCCGGTTATTTTTGGCTCTACTATTCGCCCTGGTGTTTAATGGGTGTCAATCACACTAAAGGCAGCACACAAGACCCTCTGAGCATTAGAGGAAGCAGAAGATTATTTTTTTTGTTCTTTTGTAACTTGTTATATATATATTTTTTTTTTATTTGGTTGGTTAAAGTTGGTTAGTCAAATCAGCCGACAAACCCACAAAAACAGCTGTGCTGGCTTTGTGCGTCACTTTTTGGCTCGGCCTCGTGCACATTGCCTGCAGCTACTCATAGTCAGCGTTTCTGCTTTTCTGTGTCAACACGCAAACCAAGATTTTATCCTTCAGTGTTAAGGCGTACAAGACCTGCTCCCAAGCTGCCAGCACTGTGAATGTTTGCTTTGCGTGTACTCAACTTGCCGTACAGTCGAAAGCTCACTTGTGTGTGTGTGTTTTTTTCTCCAGGGAGCCATCTACGGCATGGCCCAGTCCATCCCGGACAGGTCCATGGTGACCGAGATCTCCCGAGGTTTCCTGGACTGTCTCTATAGCACTGAGGTGCCCAAGTCAAACACCAGCCACATGAACGGCAACGGCAAAGCCCACTGAGAAGAGGGCGGGGCCTCCCCAACCCCAAACCCGGCGGGAGACGCGCTCGCTTCCTCCCCGAGCTTCGAGTTCATCGCTCAACGGTTGCCTTACCTTGCATTCATGTACTGTCTGCAAAGCTCTTAGAAGCACAAGCCAGCATCATTTTTACGTTGGCCCAGGGGGAGTTCAGCTTCTCCCAGTGCGTCCTCCCACACACAGAAGATACAACTGGGTCCAAACGAGTTTTAACCATTTCTTTTTCTTTTCATGACGTTGTGGGAGTGTGCGTTTGCGTGTACGAGTTATGTCATAGAAGATCATTTCAACTCTATCTTTAGTTTGATGCTTAACATTTGCCGCCATCTCTCACTGATTGTATAACAAAACTTTTTGTTTTTCTTTCTTCGTTTGTCGGAACATTTCAGCTCATCGTCTGTAATGACTGGCAATAATGCAAAAAACCACTCAAACTCTTTAGAACGACTCTGCTGCCCTCTAGCATGAAAGCTGACGTACTGCTTCAGACTGCCTCCACATTTCTCCCTAAAGGTATTTTTTAAAACATGATCATCCAGCACTTCTCAGAGAAACAGCATTTAATTGTAAGAGCACTGCGGTGCCCTGACAGGAGCCTATAAGCTCCACCTGTAAATCACTTGAAATGGCGCAGCCTGTGGTCCATGTCGACATGGAAGCATGATCACGTTTGACATGCGTCCATTTTTATTTTGTTTGGGATTCTTCTCGTGGCTTTCGCTGTGGTTAGATTTCAAGAAAGATACGCGAGAACAGGGGCATTTACATGAATGTTTAAGGACTTATCAATCATCCTGACCTTTTACATATTTGTTTTCCAATATTGGAAGTGATTCCACACAAACATTTGTGTTTGCAAAGTAATCAGGGGATTTAACTTTCTATCATCCGAACTGAAGGTTCAATTATTCTTTTGTTCTCATAAAATATTAACTCATTATATTCCTTTTTATTTTATTTTTAGATCCCATGTTCACCTGTTTATCACCTTGTTGTAATCATTTGTCTCCTAATCCAATCTACCTCAGTGTCGACTCAATGCAAATTACATTTACTCATTCACTGAAAACGTTCTAACCAGGTGACTGTTCTCCGTCTCTAACTTAATAAACTTTACCGCTGGGGCAGTTAAAAAAGAGAAGAAAACCTGTAATGTGTCTTCAATACACAGACTGAAACGGGGACTGCTTCCACTGTGATAAAGGGCCTCTATCCACAGCCTGAACCTTTAGTTTTCTAATGCCAGAAACCCTCCGCTTTTGGATCGCGTACTAAAAAGGTTGGCAGTACAATACACACAGCAAAGACCTTGTACTTTTTACTTTACAAACTTTTCTAATATTGTTGAAATTGTGCAATATATTTTTTTCTTGAAGGGAAACTTTGGGATCGGGGTTTGTTCTGCTTAGTAGTGAATAACAGCTTATTGGCCTTATTTAGCATTTGTGTGACCACTGGGAATGAATTACTTTTTAGTCTTTTCGTGTGGGAGTGTGAGCATTTGTTTTCAAACGTTTTTCTTTTTTTTTCCTTTTTTTTTTCTCCAAAAGATGAATGTACTTGCATTCTGTCTTTTAGTCAGTGCCTGGTTAAAATACTGATCCCCCCACCCCTCCACTAACAGTTTAATCGTCTGTCCATCAGAAATTGAAATCATAAGCAGCAACCAACTCCAGCCCTCGACTACTGTTTCACTCTGAAGTAATAACCTAAAAACTTGTGATTGAATGGCCGTAAAACTAATAAAGACTTTAATAAAGAGAGTGAGTGTGAGTGTTACAGCAAGAACAATTTGACAGAAAGTAACATTTTACTAACAGTAGAAAAAATATTTGGCACAGAGACACTCACTGGGACAGATAGACAAATCCAACACAGTTTTCTGTTGCAAAACCTGGAATGATTGGTGGGAAATTCTTTCAATTTCAATTTGTAAACATGATTTGCTTCTCTTGTTGAGGTGCAGTGGTTTAATACGTCCACTGTGCACTGAACCAACAAGCAGTTTGGCTACACATCTCATAATGAACGGACGCTTAATGGTTCATATTCACTGGGTTTTAGGAGAAATGGGTCGAGGTTTCGGAATCAAAGTCATTTAGGACGAACAGAGTCGCTCCGGTTTTCACTGCTGAAATAGCCCAAAGCAGACTGCTCACATCAGAGATGCCTGGTCAATGAAAGTGGCCAAAGTGATGTCCCGCTGGGACAGACCCCCACAGTCGTGTGTGCTGAGAGTGATCTGTACCTGTGGGGAACAAAAGAGGATAGAGCAGGGGCGGAAACTGAGAGGGAAAGTCCAAAAAACTGTTGCCGTCTTCCCCTTCATCATTTTAGTTCAAAACATAATATCTAAACATTAAACATAGAGACGGGGCTTGTACTATTTTGATACCTTGTTGTAGACATTGAACCACTCAGGATGATGGTCCATCTTCTCTGCCTGTAAAGCCACTCTGGACATGAAACCAAAAGCCTGGAACGAGAAGCAAAAAATGACGTGGCCACGTGCAAAGGGGAGGAAAGCGGGGCATTGACATTCATTTTATTTACCTGATTGAAGTCTTTGAAAATAAACTCTTTGTAAATGGCGTCCCTTTCCACGACCTCCACCCACTGAGCGTTTCGTAGCAAGGGGAGTAGGTGGGCTCTCTCCTCCTCAGTCAGAGTCTGGATCTTAGCAGCCTGAGAGCAGAGGGCAGGTTTCAGAGGGGCAGTTTCACAAACACAAACTGTGATTGGCTGCACAGACTCCCATCTGGTAACAATGAGAGGCTGCATTCCTGATTTAAAGAACAAGATGTTTCAAAGGTATTTGATGGTGGTAGGAGGGGGGTGGAGAGCTGGGAGTCAGGGGAGACTTCCTTGTGGTCATTTGCTTTGTAATCTTGACACATGATGCAGACTCACATGGGTTAGAATGAGTTAACCCACTGGGGTCATCCTCCATGACCCCTGATTTCAAATCTGAGCCGTGCTGTCAGCAATTTCCCAATGTGGATATATTGTGCAATCCAAGGGCCACGTTAGAAGTCTTTTGCCCCCGACAGAACAAACAGACCACGGACTGAAAGGGAGCAATGACATCATCTGGTATCATAGCAACGCTGTAATCTGCTGGATCTGTGAGACACTTATGGACTGCACACAAACAATTAGTGACAGGCTTTCTTTGCATGCAACCAAACGGTGGCTCCAGGAGTCCACAGAGACTCACAGAAAGATGCGGAGATTAGGTTTATCACCAGAGAGTAATGTAGGGCCCCATTCCAAATTCTGTTTATGATTTACCACCCAGGCAGACACCCTCACGTTGGCACAAAACACACCAGCACTGAGACACAGGAGAGTAAATGCCCACAGGTGTCTGTGTCTGAGACATAAACTGAAGCGAGACTATGCACTCACCATGTTTGAAGAGGGTTTTCATGCACTGGGGGGGGGGTCAGTAGCTCCTGCTCCCTGTTGCTCACAGGCAGGTCTGCTGTAGCAACCAGTGAGTGCAGCTGGAATGAGTCCCTCCGTCCAGCACACCAGCCCTGGGTCCTGCATAGCTGCCCGTGGATGAGCCTGCGCAGAAACCCTCTGTGCTGAGAGGCTGCTCAGCCACTTGTTAACATGGGTTTAATGATAAACACACCCATCTGTTGCACAAGGCATGCGCGAGGACAGCCACAAGGCAGGACTCAATACAAAAGCCAGCACAGCTGTGTTTGCTGTGTGATGAAAGATTCTGTTCCCGTCACATGCTCTGTAATAATCCATTTGATCTGATATAGACACACATACTACACATTAACTTTACGCTCAGCATAGTGATATTGATGTTCATGCAAAAACCGGACAGCAGATTTGAAAGGGTGGTCCGCAGGGGTTGGTGTCAAAGGTTAACGAGCGGCTTGCCCCTTGTGAACTCATCCGTCACAGCAAGCGCTCAGGGAATGAACAACTTAATGAAATGACTGCATGGAGAGGATGTGACAAGTGATCAGAATTTAACAGTTGACTGGATGTGGAAATGAGAAAAGGGGCTTCAGATTGAGAGGAACGCAAGCTGTGATTTAGAACAAAGCCATTAGACTGGAGTCAAATGGAGAGTGTTTATGGCATTCATGTTCGCAGTCCTGCTTCGGTTTGAACCTTGTAAATGTAAACTTAAAAACTACTCACAGTGTCCATCTGATTTAATTTTCCAGTCTCTTCTCATTATGGCACCCATTCATTTTTCATATTTGCTTCACACATATGCATCACATACCAATTATAAAGAAAATCCAAACACACATACAAGTTCTGACCTTTGACCACTTTTTATGTTGGTGTGAGAGTTATAAAGATGAGCAGTAGGGACAGGCTGCTTTAAAGCAGCGCCATGGCATTGAAAAGTCTTCTTCCAGGTCTCCCTGTAGTATTTCTTCTTTTTGGCTGCTGTGGAGGGCACATCGCAAATGGTAAGCTCTATTATTAATTCTTTGGGGAATGGTGTTTCTTATGTGTATTCTGTCATATTGTCATGAATGTGACTGTGTTCATGTAGAGATTAGACACACGGTGCCTCTAAAGATTATTCACGTAATGTCTAAAAGAATAACTGTACCCTTGTACCCCTGATTGGTCGCCATAATTAAGACGCGGTGATAAATCTAGCTTTGGGAAAAGAACATGCACATTATGAGCATTAACCCAGTCGATAATATTGAATATGTGTTATGATCTGGATGATGACAGTAATGTGGAACGCCCTTCTGCTATCATATGTTTATGATGTACAAGAGGATTTGTGTACCCAACCATAAATCAGAGGTGTTTTGAATCTTTGCAGGGCCAACTTTGAAAATGGACCAGGCTCTGCTCACATTTCATAACCAGTTGACAGAAGAAGTGCAAGTTTTCTACACATCAGATTATTGCTACAAGGTATGGAGGTTACTCGTCACAAATCAGATATCAAAAGAAACCTTTATGTTCTGTTGTTAAATCACAATTGTGACAGACTTTTTATGGTTAATCAGTGAAGCAAACAATGGAGTTACTTCTTGTTTCCCTCTCTGACCTTTATTCAAAGGAAAATGACCTGAGGCATAATTTTGGTCCACCTGCCTTATCTCAAGGCTAGTGGACATGTTTTGTAGACGGCTAAAAGGCTTCTGGTGATGGTCTTTGTGAGCTTTGTGTCTCAAGTGTTCTGCTTTTTTAACTCTATATATATCCACAAATTTAATATGCTGTTTAGAATAAAAAACTGGAGGAGACAAAGCGAAACCAACTTCCTTTGTAATGGCTTTGTTCCATGATTTACTGATATATTAAACCTAATCCTGCAACACAAGCCCAAAGCATGACACCCCCCCAAACAGTTTTTTTAATGTGAATATTGAGTCCAGAAGGTTCTATTGGATCTTTTTAACTATTGTTTATGTAGCTAGGTAGTTTCATATTGACGGGTATATCAACAATCCAGAAACTTGAACTATTCCTTTAACTTCCTGCCATTCCCTGAATCCATTGTGCACTGGGAAAACACAATTTTGTGCTTGCTTGTCTTGACCATCAGTTATTTTAATTCAAATGTCTCATGTTTGGTCCGACTGTTTGGACCAAATCTGAGAAATCTGAGCTTCTGTGATTTTGAAAATATGCCGTTCCTGGAGATGTTCCACTCATTCCAAAAGCCCTAGTCAGCTTACTGGGGTCTGGCATGGTGAAGTAAAATAATTAAAAGCATGTGGAGCCGTTGGGCATATGTTCTCTTTTTCTACTCTAAAATCTTACAAAACAAAGACGATACAACTCTCTTGCTTTTAATGCCAAAGAGAAGGGTTTCATCCTTAAAAGTATTGACACCAAAGAATCACGATTGTCTTTTAAGTAAAAGAACTGCCTGCAAGAGTCATATCTGGTTGACTATGATATGTCATATCAAAAAGGTGAATGAAATTGTTTTGTTTTTTATTTCAGTGCGTCTTCCAGCACTTGGTGTCTGTGAGGCCCAACAAAAACAATGCATCTGCCATAATCAGCACCAAGTTTGCTCTGACCATGGAGGTGCAATCCGAGATCAGGAACGCAGTTCTCTGCAGGTACTAAGTTTAAGTCTCGAGCCAGATGGCGAAATAACCTGCTGTTCCAAAGAGACAAGAATGGCAATTTGCCTCTTGTTTTTTTCATATCAACCCAGGTCATAGGGGGAGTGGATTTTTCTTGTCTCTAAACATAATGTAGTGTGATGGCATCTGCTGATTGCATCAGCAGTATGTAAGATTATTTACAGGGCTGGGGGAGTAATCGTGACCTGCTTTCTGGACCTGAACGATGCCCTCCTTTAAACCACCTCGCCGGGTATCGATCAAGAGCCTTTTTGGGGTTAATAAGACCTGACATCCTAATATTGATGAAAAGGGCTCATTAAACATTGAAAGCCTCATCTCCTCCGGAAGCATCACGGTGGAAGTTAACAGGAAGTGATGGTTCCCATCTTCATGAAAAGCCAGACCTGACTGATCAGAGCTTTCCATTCATCTGTAAACATGGATTTTAGACAGGGTTTTTATTGCAACAACACAAGCCTCTGTTGTTCCACTTTTTGCCCTCACAGAGGTCCAGGCTTTGTCCTCTTAGATCAATGCCGAGGTCTGTAACCAGACTGATATTGATTTCCTTTTCCCCTTTGAAAAAACACTCAGACTGATAGCTAGTATGTCATCCCAACGCTGGATCAATACCAGCTTGTAATGCATGTTTTTAGGGCCTGAAATTAGAGATGATGAGAGGGCAAAAGCCTGTACCGGGGGCCTGCCAACACTAGGTGGAGTCCCTCAGCTTTACAGCAATAGCAGAGGACACTGAGCTTTTTTCCTGATTATCTGGTGATGAGAAAAACAGAACCCCCCTTCTACTGCAAAAGAAAATGAATAAAACACTTTTAAGGGGAAAATGTGTCTGATTATTTCCCTGTTGTGGATGCAGCTGGAATCAGACATATGTGGAGGGTGGTCATTACTCTGTTTGGATCCATATGCCAGATGCGTTCTTTGATCCAATCTGCAGCCATTCCGTGGATAGGACACCAAACAATCTTTACCTGCGTAAGTAGAAAAAACATCTATGATGACAATACTCGTTGAATTTCCTTATCAGGACATGGTCACAGTACAGAAACCTGTGGCAACACTCAGGGCAAGCTTTGATCCATCCTCCATTTAATTGAGTCAGCACAGAGGAGAATGTCCTCTCTCGTCCACATCTACTGGGCAGTAATTCTCATCCACCTCATGGGACATGATGTGTATCGATCAGATCAGACTTGCTTTCTTGAAAAGGGATAAAAGAAAAGCTTTTCTGCTTGTTTTGAAGGCCGAGCTCTGAGCGCCAGGGGATGTGGCTAATACATTAGGGAGTGTGGAAGGATTAGGGCGTAATGGGATTTTGAAAGCGTCTCTCCTCCATAATGTACACTCTACTTAACAATATTGCAGATTATGTTGTAGATCAGACTTTTAAGGCCAAGCAGCCATTATCTGCTATGGTCAGTGTGACTGCACCTCTCACAGTGGGATGAGCTTCCATTAGCTCCACAGACCGGTGATTATACAAACTCCCCATAGGACTTGCTCAACTTAAGTAATGGTCTGGTCAGCAGCTCAAGACAGGTAAGAGATGCGCTGCCGGGGAGTTTGGAAGTTTACTCTAGTGTCTCGGATTGATCGGCCGCAGAACTTCGTGACGTCATCCGCTGTGTTTCTTAAGCAAAGGTTTCTGTGCTGCCGCTATCAGATGCACCCTTTAATCAAGTTAGTACAGTATTTTGCATTGCAGTACAGACCACAAGTCACCTACCGAGGCCCTCAGAGACCCACCTAATCAACCACTGTCAAGTGTGTCATCAAATATATCAATACAAATGTACAGGGCTTAATTGAGTTGTTTGAAATGCTTCCGTTCTTATACCATTAATTCAGACAGCGAGCAGAGGAGCAAGCACTTCATGTGCTGAGAGCTCAGGGTTTTATGAATGGACGTCAGAGACCCCATGACATTTCGGTGGTGATTAAGGGACCTGCTCTTTGTTCAGAGACTCAGCTTGTTTAAAAATGGCTTTTCTGTGTGTATTTTTCCATTCCGGTCAAACACTGTGTGCGCTCTCCCATTTTTACCTGTGCTGCAACACAAGGAAGTTACTGTTATACTGTTATAAAAGAGAATCCTGGCTGTAAAATACATCAGTGCTGCTGGTGATGGGACTAGAGCTTTTTTTGAAAACACTTAGTAATAGTAAAATTTTACTTTTGCAATACTTTGAGTTGCATTTATGTTTTCTGTCAACAGTTCAGTCTATTTCATGCATTGATGGCTGTCGTCTTTGCTCTTTAATCAGGGAAAACCTTAATTTTATAGCAAATAAAATGAATCCCATCCCTCCCGCTGTAAACCCCATCTTGACCCTTCAGCCCTAGCAGTCCAGCACTTTCCATCTGCTTTATTCTTTTTCCATTGGAGCCTTACATTTACCTCATCAGATGCTTGTGGGTTAGATTATAGGAAATGGTTCCTCTTGGTGGAATCAACCAAGGTTTTTTTCCCATTAGGCTGTCGTTTGTCGTTTGTAGGACACAGGCTGACTGACACAGTCATAGGGGAGGCCACAGGCCAGAAAATCAGGCAGTTTGGAAATCTGTCAGCGCTTTTATCCCCATTCAAATCTGACTCTGAGAGAGATTCACAGTAGAAAGCCCCTGACTCGATGTGCAGTGGGATTGATGTCACAGTTCAAATTTACAAGTGTTTCTTTTTCTTTTCTCTCCAGCTCTCCTGGTGGTAGCTCTCATTCTGGCTTTAACTGCCCTATTATCTGTTGTGGTACCCTTCATCTACAGGTAGGCCATACACATCTTTTTACACAACATTCAAGAGAAAAATGCTAACCTGCCCTGAATTCTCCTCCATCAGAAAACAGCTCAATTTGCCTTCTTTACAGGAGGCGCTGCACATCAAAGATTAAGAACTTTTGCTGCCACGGAACACAGTATCCTGTTGATAATGTGAGTAATGTACTCCTTCAAACAAATGCTTTGCAGTACTAGTTTGATAAATGGACTTTTATGTCAAATATATGATTAGAATTATTAGAATTATTCAGTTAAATAATAAATCAATCAGAAGATTTGAAAAGTAGAGTTTTGTGTTTTTTGTTTGTGTTATATATATATATATGTATATATGTATATATGTATATACATGTATACACACATTTATTGAATTCATGTACCCTGATGAAATTGCTACTAAAATCAAGCGGTTCAGCAAAACAGGTGATCGACGATTGTCCAGAGTTTATTTCTGCCGCATGCAGGGAAAGATTGGCTTTCCGCACTGTTATGATCAAACATATAAACATCACCACAAACCAGTAGTTACATTGCATTATTTTCTTCAACCTATTATGTGGGCTTGGATGCATACCAAAATTGCTCTGAGACTCCAGTCATCAAGTCGTTTGGGAGACACTAATGGAATGATTGATACAAATGTTAGCGGAGCCAGTTGTGCAGCAGACGTACATGGAAGCCATACAGCACCGCACCCATCCAATCATCTTGCTCCATCTCAAGAGCTACAGTGTATTTTTGGAGAGCATGAATAGCTCCTCTCATTCTCCCAAGCAAGACATCTCTGGCCTCCATATGCCGTCTGGATGGCACACAGATCCATCATGACATATTAGTGCTGGTGTCTTCCTGCTCTGGTGCCTTAAACTGCTTCATGGAGACCAGCGAGTCCAGCTAATCCAACTGGGAGGGCAGCAGGCCACAGTCGTCGCTATCTTCACGGAGAGTGAAGAGTTTTTACTGAGGCAGCATTGTGATCCTTTGGTTTAATCAGTAATTCCACATTTCATTAATATCATAATCATAACATCTTGAATTGCCAAAAATGATATGATTGGAAATTATTTTATGTTACTAAATGTTCTCGGGGCCCCACACTTTTACATGGCAGGCAGAATGGAGTGGACTTGAATGACTGTTGCCTCTTTAACAAAAATAAGTTCAATTATAATCATGATGAAGGTCTGCTACCGTGAAGGGTCATTTTGAATTAAATGGAAATTAACAGAATTTGTCAGCTCTCAAAAGGGGACTTGTAATCAGGACTTTGACGCAGGATTTTTATGCACAACGCAACAATTATCCTAAGGGACTGAAAGGGAATTCAGAACTGTACTGGGAATCTACACTGGAATGACCCAGTGTATGATTTAAAAAAAAGATGTTAATCATTTTTGGAAGAAGAAGCTTGACCAAAAAATAGATCTTTCAGAAGATTCAAAGTGGATGTCTGTTGTGAAAAGAAGAAAAAGTCACCATTAGTTTGCATTAAGCTTCAGATGTTCCCACGTATTGTATACTTAGAATTTCATACATTTCTGCAATCAGTCAGCAAAATGTGGGATGTCAGTAGGAGCCCAAGCCCTCAGCCTACACCGAAAGAGAACAAGAGGGCGACTGTTGAGATGAGTCAAGTAGAGGTCTCTACTGTGGGTTGTGTTTCAATTAGTGGGTGTTTCTCAGTGGCAAAACATGATTGGCTTATTAGTGATCCTTGGATATGCAGCTAATTTGATTGGGTCAAGTTGCTCAGTTCCTGCTTGTGAAAAAATGGCAAACAGCAACACATTTTGTGGCAAAAAAGTTAAGAAGCAGCAATAAATCTTGTGATATTTAGGCAAAAACTAAACAACAAATACTTGGAGAATATCTTTCAACCACATCCGCCTTTCTCTCTGAGTGATCATAGTTCATCCAAAGGGACCACAGTTGAACAGCGAATCTTATAAGATTACATTCATTGGCTGTCTTTAACTTGTTTTGCTGTCTGCATAATGAAACACAGGGAAGACGAGATTTGTCCAACAGGAAAACTCGGGATCACTTTTCCATGTGTATGAAATTTAAATGAGTGCACTGGATTCACTTTTCATGTAGAAACTATTTTCTGGGCAGTGAAATGACCACACAGGTTGATTCCAACCAATCAGGCTTTGTGACCGAAATACGCCCCTCCGATTGAAGAACGCCTACTTTTGATTGCTGCCTAATCTTAAATGACCCACATTGGTGTTTAGGTGCCAGCATCATTGAGTCGTTAATTCTCCCCTGCTGCTGTTTCTGCAGGAAGAGGCGCAGGCTTCTGAAACTGCCCACAACTCAGGCAAAGCTAAACCCTCACGTCTGCTCTCCCTGGACACTTTCCGAGGGTATGTATGCCATCAACAACCATCCTGTTTATCAGTTTATCACCACACACAGCTCATTCACATGCTATTCCTTTATAAAGCTGTCTGAGGCATGATGAAGATCTACAGGCCCAATATAGTGAATAATTACGCGAGGGTCACAGTCTGGCCACACGCTTCCCCAAGCTTTTGTAATGGGGCGGTATAGCTTTGGGCATGATTTCTGATATCATTGCATCTCAGGGGTTTGGAACAGAGTGTTTCTGTTGGACAGGAGTGATGCATGTGATTGAATCTTGGCTCCCTGCTATCCTTAATTGTGGCCTGAGGGTAGACACAAAGCACGCCTCTCTGGAAACAGGATGCTGGTGTGGCTTTGACCTCCCCCATGCCAAATAATTGATGTAATAATACCGTCAACATATCAGCACACATCCACAGGGCCATAGATCTCCTGCCAAAGCGGAGAATGAGAGGAAGTCCAGCCACACACAAACCGCATCCAGTAGACGACTGGCATCTATTCCTATCTGTGGCTTTCTTTTGGACGAAAAGCCATCTGAAGCCATTGAACAGATCTGCGGATTTGAAAATGCTACAGTTTTTTCTTTTTAGTTCATAAGCTAAAGCATGATTGATCTGAATCTGCTCTCAGAAAATATAAACCTTTGATAAGATTTCCCCTTGGAGACACTTGTAGCCACAGTCCTCCTCAGTATTTACTGAAATACCACTCTCTGGTTACTTGTCAAACACTGATGTACCGATGGGGATGCTGAAATTTTTCATAACTGGCAACATGCTTAATCAAACTGTGACTCAGCTCCCAAGATTAACGCTGCAGGTGCTTCCTCAGCTCTGTGACTTATGATCCATAACCCTGATAAGTAACAACTTTCTACAGAGAACAGACACATCAGTCATCTGCCATAAATACTGAGACATTTCTGAAGGCAAAAGGCTTTTCCCTCTCAGCTGAAAGGTTTTTCTGATCATTGCTCAGGCTCCCCTGACATGATATACAGAGAACTGTGGGGTACAGTTGCACGTTAATTTTTCTAAAAGGATTTGGATTTTAATCTTGTGCCTCAGTGCTAAAAGCCTTTCACCGGTTTCCCTTCCCATTGAAAACTGCACTGTCAGTTGTTAGCAGTGCCGTACAACAGAGGGAACAACTATTACAGTAAAACCAAGGATTATGAGTCACATTTAACGGCAGGTGGCTGAATCATTCTGTACCTCATTTGGACAGATATCCCAGTTTTTCTTCCAAACCTGTCTCAAATATTCTGTGATGTTTTGAAACCGGTAAATAAAAAACAAAAAAATTACTACGACCATTTTCGCTCAAGTAAAAATCCATTATGGCTAAATTGGATGTCAACATACTTAATTAGGGCAGCGCAGTTGGTGACTTGATACTGTGCAAAGAGAGTGTGTTACTATCCATTTGCAAAGGGATAAACTTCAAAGGGGATCTCCTACTTGGTAATGAATTCAAAATGATTCAAATGTAAGTGAACTTTGAGCGTCTATAAACGAGTCACGACCAGTCACTGCTGCTGCAAGAAAGACAAGTCTCCACATTTTGTGCCAGCCAAAACTCATAGATTCTCATTCCCCGGACATGCCTTAAATCTGTTAATGGAGTGACATGTCAAGCGGGGAAGATTCAAAGGGATATACGACAACTTTAACTTGATTAGGACCCAGGAAAAATATTCGCTTCATCTTGGACCCCATGGCCGAGACGAAACAAAGACTTCTCACCTCGCGCTCATTAGTTCCCTTTCTCATAATTAGCATTGGCTATTGTCACATGCACGTAGCATCGGGAGCTCTCATTCAGAATCAGACAGCAAGTGTGTTAATTAATAAGATGGCCGGTGAGATGTGATGTTGCAATGAGTTTCACCGGGTCACATCTGGCCGGGGATTTAACCTTTGTCTGTGTCACTATGGCAACTAATGGATATGTTCGTCCAAATTTAAATGACAGCCTCTGTGTTTATGTGTGTGTATGAGAGAGAGAGAGGGACAGAGAGACATAGAGAAACAGCCCACGAACACATACATCAGGGTTTACTCTGCTTTAATAGCCCTGTGGAGATGATAGTGACCGATTAAAATCTTGTATCAGCAGGTTGAGGCTAAAAGAGCAGTAATGGCTTTGGTGCACCTCATAATTGAATCCAAGCAGAAAAACAAGAGGAGGCAGAAGTAGATACAAGGCACCTTATCGGACCGTCTCATTCTTAGAGGTTGTCCCAATCTGGTTATAAGTCTTAAAGACCCCCAGATGATTTTTTAAAAATCAAATAACAACCCGAAAGCATAAATTCACATATTTCACCTGCTGAAGCAGTTGGTTCTGTTGCATCAACACCAGCCACATTCCTACAGCCCCGACCCCTGCAGCCCCCCTGCATTTTTGTGTTGCATAATGGCCTGTTTTTCCCAGGCAACACAAACACCTTTTTCCCTCCAGCATTTGCTTCAGTAAAGCACTCCATCACGTGTGTTCGTGTTTCAGCAGCCTTGGCCAGTGCTGAGGTATAAAGAGTATCATATATTGCAAAGTGTTGAGTCAGCAAAGCTGACTAAAGGAGATCCAGAGGACAAGTGTTCATTTCCTGAGTGATTCATAATGCTTAGGTTGCATTAGCCTGCTTTTGGAGTTGTGACACAATAAAAAGGCATCTAATTTGGCATCTCCAACTTACGTTCAGAAGTTAACACTCGATTAGAATCAACGTATTGGTGAAACTGCCAAAAAACAAACGAGCAAATCATCGTATTATTGTGAATTTCATCTCGCTCCCACACATTTTCCTTGTTTAACCTTAATTTGTCCCTGATTGAAAACCATCTCAGCCTATTCACTGCAGCCCCTTGTCATCATTGTAACATCTTTATAGGTTTTCCCTCACGGTGATGGTGTTTGTCAACTACGGTGGAGGAGGCTACTGGTTCTTCCAACACGCACCCTGGAACGGTTAAGTGAAGAACACATGCACGAACGCACAAAAATAAGAACCAAAGCTTGTACCTCGCATGGAGCCTAAAGCTGCTAATCAGCGGCAACTCTCCTCATTAGGCCTGTGGCTTTGTCAGACCAGTTGTCTCTAATTATGATAAATGCAGTCGCACTCACTGGCAGCCATCTCTCATACAGGCCAAATCAAAGGCGTAATGAGATGATTATTGTTGTAGACAACCAGTGGATGACAAGGAGGAGACATGATGGTTTGAGTGATAGCTGGGAGAACATAGGCGAAGGCTTAAGAGGGGGACAATGACTGAGAAACATTCAGCTTGGGATGGTGATTGTGTTACCTCAGTTACTTCTAAATAATGAGATGCATTTAACTTTTGACACACTGTTTTTAAATGTTGGTCTTAGCTTTAGCTAAGCAATTGATTGCACAATGCATTATGTTGTGAGTTCTAATTATACAACCCTGTAGAGACTAGACAATAAGAATGTCCATATTTGTGATTTTTTTTCAAGCATATTAAATGCATCATTTTGGGGTGTCTTAGATTCTAATATTTTTTCGTTACATTTACAAGGGCATCTTTTTTTTCTAAGTGGACAGTCTTAATCCTACCTAATCTAATTGTCTCTCCCGATAGCTTGTTTTATGTGGGAATGCATCAAATTCAAGTAAAATCTGTACATGTTCATTCATATTAACCTATTCTTTCTGAATTCTTTGCAGGTCTAACGGTGGGAGATCTAGTCATGCCATGGTGAGTGTGTGCAAGAAGGTCATGCAAAATCTACAGTCTTATAAAATGTGTTGGAGTGTAATGTATGTATGTGTAATGTCGTGTAATGTAAATAATGTAAATCCTGTTTTGTCTGCCAGGTTTGTGTTTATAATTGGCACTTCAGTGGTTTTGGCATTCAGCTCCATGCAGAAGAGAGGAGTCAGCCGCCTGCAGCTGCTGCGAAAGATCACCTGGAGAACGGTCGTGCTAATGATGCTCGGCTTCTGCTTTCTCAACTACTCTCCGAGAGATGGCCCACGTATGTGCCAGATATGCAGCCGCACAACAGAACACAGAGCAAAACCCTTGTTTAAATGAAAGGCATGTGTATGCTCTGAAAGTTGTTTGCTCCTTTTTGGGCCAACTGCAACCTGTCTGATGACGTGTCCACTTATGCAGCAGTTGAGAACAGATGGTTCTCTTTTTCTGGCCATGCGTAAAATTGATCTTGTATCCAACCTGAAATTGCTCTCTTATGAAAGATTGAAAGAAAAAGCTTTTTTTTTTTTTAAACAGAAATTCTAAACATATTAATATCCATATTGTGATAAAAGCCACGGGTTTAAAAGGGGTGTAGTGCTGAATAATCCCTGTTTTACCGCCCATTTGGGATGCTCAGGGCGCCCTTCACACATTAGCTGTTGCTGGTGCTAATGGACTTTCCTTGGTGGATGTCTGCATAACTAGGTTACACGAAAATATTGTTGTTGTGTGTGCAGTCTCAAAATCCAGCACCAGGGGACGTTTAACAGCAGCAGATTGAGCGAAAACAACCGCTGTGGTAATGGACAATTACAAACAGATAGAGTTACAGCCTTTAGCTCCGTGCAGCTGCTGCTGCTGGACTCTGCTGCCGGGGCTGATCCGGACAGGGCGGTCACTCTCAGCACAAACTGCAGCTCTCCCCTCCGTCTCCAAGGACGTCCCCAGCTTTTCAGTCCCGGGGTTTGATCTAATAAGAGAATGGAGTCACATCAGCTCAGTATGCTAAACCCTTTCAATGTCAAATGAGAGAGAAAGAGGTGTTACCATTTATCAGTTATTCGTGATTTTAAATGAATCCTGCTCTCATTAGATGGCTAAATAATGTTCAAAGGAATGACAAAGCAAGACCTTGAAACAGAAGACAATATTTTGGTGTTTTAGAAAATTTCCTAACAGCAATAAAAATGATATTAATTATTCTCGTTAAATCAAGTTTAAAACCATTTCTTAAACCAGTCATTTAAGAGAATTGGTCAATTTTTTAAAAGTCTGTTCTGTTATTTTGTGACGTGGACCTCAGGTTACTCAGTTGGACCGATGCTGCAAAGCTTCTTGAAACATTTGCTCTACATCCTTGCTGATTTTTAAGGTCCGCTGACTATCGACACGTAAAATGACTGTGCTGAATCTATGCTTGAAAACAATCAAATTTTAGAAGCTTATGAGAGGGTTAGCAGCAAAATGATTCTGAAGGTGAAAGTAAAAAAGGAGAAACACATAAAACAACCAAATACTGCAATAAAATACAGTTTAAGTTTATTCCAGTTCAGCATACCTGTACTTGGGTGACAGTTTAGAGGAAGGACTGTGCAGTAAATTATCTTTGTGGGAGTGTTACCTGCATATTTAACTCAAGTGTCACCAGTAAGAGCTTCCTCTTTTCCTGCTTTGAAGGAGGGATTTCCGCCTCTTATTTGATTTGTTGGGATCAATGATCACTATCATATTGTTTTTACAGCACTTTCTGTGACAAAGAGGATTTCAATTAACTAATGTGTAGATTACCATCAATCTGTCAAGCGGGAGCCAATCTGTACCCATTGCAATTTGTGGAGGCCAAGAGATAACTGGGAATCTTTGATTACTTTTCCACATTCTTGACATTTCCACATCCTGAAGGCTTATCCACTGACCTAGACCCCAAACTGTCCTTCACCTGAAGGAAATGGTCTTTGTGGGCCTCATAGCTGAAATGATGATTGACAAAAATGATCAGAAACATATTCGCAGCGTAAGCTTTATTGGGTGTACAATATTGCAAATTCATGGTGTATGTGTATGAGAAATATTGCACTGTGCCATTGTAAGCGTATCTGCTGTATTTTGCTGACTGTGTTCCAGTGTCTTGGTCGTGGCTGAGAATCCCCGGAGTGCTGCAGCGTCTAGCCTTCACCTACTTTGTTCTGTCTCTCCTGCAGACTTTCTGGGGCCAGATAGAAATCCCTCTGAGAATGGTGAGCTCTGCTGTCAAGTCCTCTTTCATCAGACCTTACAAACAAACAAACAAACAAACAAAAGACCAGCTGACATGACACGTTTTACAGAAGTAGAGACTTAATGCCATGCTTGTGGCTTTGCTATCATCCAACATGGTGGGGATTAGCAGGTGGCGTCTAATGTTTGTCATTTTTCTTTTGCAACTTATGCTAAAAAGCTCTAAATGCAAAGTGGTGGACAAATGGATATTTTTCCCCTTGTGACTGCAGGATGAAATAAGTCAGGGCTTCTGAGAAACTCTGAAAAATATTTGAAGCATATAGGTGAACACTGATGTGTTGGTCCACTGGTATTTGTTATCATGCTTCAAACATGACTCAAATGAGTGCTTACTGGAAAAAAAAAAGTCATTTAAAGGCTGATTCCGACATGGTTTGTGTGCGCAGCGTCACTGGTGGAGCCCTGTCCAGGACGTCATCCTCTACTGGCCACAGTGGCTGATTATAATCCTGCTGGAGACTTTGTGGCTGTGCATCACTTTCCTGATGCCTGTACCCAGCTGCCCAACGTAAGACCAAACGTAGCTCTTTAATTACTTTTAAAGTCCAATCTGCTCGTGATTCCACCGACAGACGTTTGTTAAAAGAACGCACTTTGTATATCTCCCCATGTGGAGATAAACTCCACTTAGGGCTGCTGCACAGCAGGGGAGCTGTTTGTGTGCACCTTTTGTTGCGGGTGCTATGAAATAGCATGATTTATAGACCCATGATGGATGCTTCAGAGGGTATAATTAGCCAATCTCAGTTTGTCATGTGCAATAAGAGGAGGGGAGGCAGGGGATCCATCTTCCTCGCTTGGTGTCTTCTGCTTTTTCTGTGTTTCTTTATTTATTTATTTTTGGCCCCCATCTATGTGATCCTGCAAGGCATCAGATTTAAAATAGATAGATAAATAATACAACCTTTTGTTCACTTGTTTTTTTTGTTTTTGTCATTAGAATGTGGTCATTGATAATGAATTCATGTCAACACACATCACAAAATATAAAACACTTTGTATGAGATATTAGACTTAAATAATTTTAGATGATTATTTTGGAAAGGATTGCATATGAATATGATTAACTCTTTTATTTTATCTCAGAGGCTATTTAGGAGCTGGTGGAATCGGGGATGATGGTCTTTATGCAAATTGCACAGGAGGTGCAGCAGGATACATTGATAGAAGGATATTTGGTGATAACATGTACAGATACCCCACTTGCAAAGTAAGTACATTTCCCCTTTGGCAAAAATGATATGTTACTGAAATCAATATGGTAGGTGAAGTTTCGCTTTCTTTTTTTTATACCCTTTTTACTTTCAAGGAACTGTATCAAACTGTACAGCCCTTTGACCCAGAGGGGATCCTGGGAACAATCAATTCCATTGTGATGGGATTTCTGGGGATGCAGGTAAGCCGGATCATTTGTTTCTTCTACATGTCTGTGTACTTTTAAAGTATAAATCAAAGATGTGTTGACATTTCTCTCACATTCTTTTGTCATAAAAAAGTTAGATTTCTAAAATGTATACAGATTTGTACTGTCGATAAAACAATGGAACATACACTGCTCTAGAATGGGCATAAAAACTTGAAAAATTAGAAATAAAAACAAACACACAAACAAAAACCTAAGCTGAGATGCAGAGGTATTGTGTGGAAAGACTAAGGAAACACCCTTACTACTTCTAAATGATTCAAGCGTAAGTAAGGTTTATTAAATCCGTTGATTAAAAGATAACCAATAAGTGTCTTGCTGCTCTGAAGTATTCAGGCGGGTGTTAATGCCATGCCAAGGAGGAAAGACATCAACAATACTCTGAGAGAAGCAGTTGCTACTGCCAATCAATCTGGGTGAGGTCATAAGGCCATTTTCAAACATTTTTGGATTCCATCCAGCCCAGAGCCAAAAGGGAATAAAACCTTCAACACAGAGACTAACAACCTTTATTTCTGCCACTAACAATTGAGCATATTAACAGAATACCACATCAAAGAAAAACTATGGCGCATATATGTATGTTACTGTATGTGGACTGATGATCGTGTCAGTGATCACAGATCCGCTTTTTTTAAGGGTCTGTTTGTGCCAGCACTGAAAGCTTTATGGCTGTTTAACGTGGGTGTTTAATGTAGTGGCTTATTTTTTATGAATACATTGTAAGTGTTTCTCTGATGACTGTGTTGGCAGGGCCTCTAGTCTATAGCCAGGTGTGACAGGTACAAAATATTCACTGTGTATGCACAGGCATAATTAAGCAATCACAAGAAAATGGATGTGGTCAACTCTACTTACCTAATTATTAAGGTTTGTTTCAGTACTTCTGGAAACATTTTCTTACATGTGTCATCAGTCCTAATTCATTTTCCAGGACAACACAGAGATGTTTACACTCTTTTAGGAATTTCCAAGTCTTAATGTTTACCTTTTTTTGTGAAACTGTCTCTTATTTCACAACACTGGCCCCTGATTGGTTTAGGAGCAGCCTTTTTTCATTCTAACAAGCATTCTTGTCCATTGCATCCTGTTCTATGTTAATATAGATACAAAAACACCAAAGTTATAAACTATATTACAAACAGATAGTGAATGTTAACATATCCTGCTTCACTGTGAAAACGCCACTGCCCGTTATTGAAATGCTTTTGTTAGAAAGTGAGTGGAAAGTGTTTGGTTTCTGCGTCTGAGGCGCTGAAGGTGACGGTTTTACTTCAAACCATTTGGGTTGTGGGAGGTGGCCATGCAAAAGCGGCCACATTGCTCAATTCCCAGTGGGCAGTTAGTTCTGAGCCCTTCAGTCAGCAAGTCGTAGACGACACGCCAGGTGTCCGCTGCCCTCCTCTGTGTTTATCCACGCTGACGCTCTCAGCTGAAACACATTCATCATCACCAAATTAATCAGAGGGCGCAGATGACTTACACGCCACATCTGGCTCCACAGGATGGGAGAAATGTGACCGCTGCATCAGGGACACGCCACCATCAAACACATCCCAGGGCTATTTGGTTACCCAAGGCCAAATGGCCGAGCATTCTGGGAGCTGGTGTTTGCGTCCTTTTTCTCATTAACTCTGTGAGCAAATGAGCTCTGGTGTCTGAGCTGACCCCTGCTTCTTTTTCCACAGGCAGGGAAGATTATCATTTTCCACAAAAGGAAGGACATTCACATCCTCTGTCGATACCTAGTGTGGGCCGTCATCCTGGTATGTTACACAACGTGGGGGTTAGGAACACTGCTGGTAAATAAATGAGTCCAAAAGTCAATTGACAATTTAAAACCAGGACAACAAATCGCTTCAAACATGTTCCTCCAGCTGTGACTCATGAGTGCCTTTACGGTCTGGATGTTTTACTGTCTGTTGCAGGTAGATTGTATGTGTCTTCCAGCCAGTCAGGTATTAGTCATAGCTTCCGAAGCCATTCATTAGGAGGACATGTGTGCTATCTCAGTACAATTAAACAACATCCGTGTGTGGCTGTGTTTCCAGGAAGACGTTGCTATCCAGCACCTCAGGGGGATTCATACTGTCTCTCATTGCCCGCTTCAGCCTCACATGTGGTTTTAGATTAGAAGAGCACTGCATATCATTTACAGTCCTCTGCAAGGAGCGCACGGTCTGTTTAGCTACCTCCACAAAAAGTCTTTACAAAGAGATCAAACATATGGAGATTTTGGTAGAGGTCATTCAAATATAGGATAAAAAGTTCCATCCTTTGTGGAGTCCTATAGGTTTAAGAATTATAGTCTTTCTGGGTGGTCTCAAAACACAAAAAAAGAAGGCAGGCTGGACTCATTTATAGGGGAGCTGTGTCCCCCAGGGAGGAGGCAAGTGTTACAGGAGATTACTTATTTTGCATTTCTAAACCTGTGGCAGGAGGCAGCTAGTCAGCTCTAACAAGACTGGGAGGCAGCCATGAATAAAAAGCCAGGCCTTGCAGGACGGTGTCGGGCTACTGTTTTTGTGTGCGTGCACAGAGAGGCGGCGGAGACATAGCTCATTTGGGAAACAGGGTTAGTAGGAAGCGGCTTGCTGTGGAGGCAGACATCCTGAACGGGCAGCCCTGTGACCTGGAGCGATGATGGAGCTGGAGGAGCTGTCTTCATCTCCCTCCCTCTGAAATCAAACTGTGCAGGGATGAAAAGAGGAGTACATTCAGTCAGGCCGGGGAAAAAAGAAGAAAAAAACTAAATCGGCTGTCTTTGTAAAGATTGCGTATTTTCCTGTGCTTTTTGTGAAACTTTGGATATCCGGTTTTAGAGTCTAAACTGTTTTTTAACCGTTTAGGGTCTATCTATAAAACTAAGCTGAAGCTTCCATGTATATGGAAACAATTATCACTAAGATACATCCAGTTTTAAACCTTCCATATCAAATACAGTATATTAGCAGCCATTGAAATTACGCACCAGTAATGTTTTATCATTGTGTTGGGAAAGACTGAAAGTGAAATACATTAGACCCGTTTGGCTATTCCCATAGGCACAGAGTGTTATAAAAAACAGATGAAAGGGAAAATAAATATTAGGCTCATGTGATCTTCATCGTATCCCATGGTGATAGTGTCAAACACAACAGAGAACGAGCAACACCAGCTCATGATTATGATGTCGAAGGGGGACATATGCAGGATCATACAGCACGTGGAGATAGATCAATATTCAAAATTGTAGTAAACTGAAACAGAGAGTCCAAATAAAATAGATTTTCCTCACATTGCAACGGTTGACCCAGAGTGTAGACTGTTTTTATTGATTTTTTGAATAGATACAGATCATGACTGAATGCAGCTTATGTTCTTTATGTTCATATTTGGCTTTTTTTTCTTTACTTTAAATCTATTTTTAGTTTTTTTACCCACCAATACAGAAGACAGAATCAGTTTTAGTGATTGTCCTGGCCTTGATATTGACTTTTCTAACACAATTTCAGCTTACACTTGGAGGCCGGAGGCAGAGCCTCTTGTTTCAGACATGTGTTCTTGACATTAGCACATCTCCTCAGAGAAGGAGGGGGATCCACGCTGCAAGCTCTCAACCACAGGATTGTTCTTAACCACAGCAGGTCCACAGAAAAATCCAAAGGAGGGTTGAAGCCATGAACGGAAAGCTGGTTTTCAGAGCTCAGGTCTCTGGGTTGTGATCTCTGCAGCAGGCAGATATTGGGGCAGCCACGTGGCTCCCTCATAATAAACAACAGCCCCAGTTAATTAAAGCTCAACGATCAGGCATCAGAAGTGTGAGATTAAAATTGAGCGGTTGCCCCACATACCAGCCCCATCCCGTCTCCTGCTGCCTGGATAGCCTGGAGGTTGAGTCCAGCCCCAGCTAGGCTATTTCCACACCATCGATTCTGCCATCTATACACATGATGGATATCCACCTAACGAGCGTGTTTGGATTTTGATCCACTGCCCTGGGCTTCTCACTGGTGCACAAAGTGTTTCTTCATGTATTACAATTGCATGCAAAGGTGAATAAATGAGACAATGAGCGCTATTATGAATGTAGGACTCATCAGGTCATGTGCACTGGCTCAGTATTGTGAGTAAAGAAGGCGTTGAGTGTGAGCAATGACAAACCCACACCACTTTGGGTCCCTTAGCTAACGGTTTTGGTTTGGGTGATCAAATAGGCCTTTGATGCCTGACACTGTGTGTGTGAGTGTGTGTGTGTGTGTGTAGGTGTGTGTAGGTGTGACCTGACGCACTTTTCTCATTTGACTCTCAAATAATCGGTTAATCTGTTGGACTTTCTATCTGTTGCTTAATGTTTGAGTAGCACAGTGCATTGCTTTATCACCTACCATTGATTTGAAATCTGTTTCATTTCCACCCTCAGGGAATCTCTGCAGCCATCCTTTCTAAGTGCACGCTAGACGAAGGATTTATACCTGTCAATAAAAACCTTTGGTAAGTGCTTCCTGACCCTCTAAATCCAGCCACTTTTCCTTACAAAAGAAAAGGATGGGCTTCCAACAGACACAAATCAAGGCTGCTAAAACACACGTTTACTTACCTCCAACAGCAGCTATGACTGTAAATAATCACCCGGGCTGTTGGGAGTGTGAGGTGGAGTGGTTACATCCACCTAACATGATCACTCTCCCAGAAAAAATACCGAATCAAATGTCCTCTGCACCCCAGAAACACTTTCCGCATATTTGGCCAGCTCTGTGTGAAAGAAAGGGATTAAAAATGCCCAGTGCAGTCTAAATGCTTGAATGTCAGAAAGCCTTTTTGGTATAACTGAACACTGCACCTTTCTAAATAATCATTGATTTAGCAAGAAAAAGGTGCAATTTGTGCATCTGGTCCACCACCTCAACATTCCCTTAAACTGATGTGAATCATTTTAATGCTGCAGCAGGAAGAATACCATTACATCTGTGATGTGTAAGCAAATTTCTCATGCTGTTCCTCGGGGGCCCCCCGCTAACACCATGCTCATCCCTCGCTATTACTGTACCTACCTTGCTTTTATAGGCAGTTTATCATACACAGGTTATTGAGCTCCTGAGTATGAGTCTCTGCCTGGATGTCTCGAGGTAATTAACTCTCTGCCAAGAGTCCTTTTTTGGCCCCACTTCAACTGGAATGAAAAAAATAAAAGAAAGCTCACTGCACAGAGTCTCTGGGAGGCAGCCATTTTACATTAGATGATATTTCATCAAACATTCTTGCACTTAAGAACAGACAGGGACATGGCTGGCTGGCACAGCTCCACGGGGCATATGCCAAAGATGCACTGCTGATGCCTTGGACCAAACTGTCCCACAGTTTGCTGCATTGGCTCGACACCCCCGGGGTGTTATTTATCTGCAGCAAAGGATTGATGGACTGAACGTGTTTACACCCTTGTTCACACCAAACTGCAAACATTTTAGTGATACTCCACTCGGACAGAATAAAATGTTGCTGTTGTTGTGAAGTGTTACTGATGGTCTGTTTCCCCAGGTCCTTGTCTTACGTGCTGTACATGGGATGTTCCGCTTTCGTGCTGCTTGGAGCCATGTACTTTGTCACTGATGTTAAGGGCTGGTGGGGAGGACAACCCTTCATTTACCTAGGTACTGTCCATTCATGAACACAGACACTCATCACTTTGTAGTGATTTATTTACTCTGGTGCTGATTAGAATCCCAGCATATGTCCACAGTCTGTTTTCTGTTTTAAAGGTTGCTTTAAAACAAAGAAAAAAGAGATAAAGTCTTGCAGATTCAGCCTTTTGTTGAAGAGCTTCCTTGTTAGTTTGGTAAAAACCAAAATACATATCTGAACAAAGATTCCTGAGCTGAAATGAAAACACATTGACGTAGCATGGACATCAGTGTCTCATGACTATTTTATATTAACATTTGTGTTTAATTTTAGTTTATGTTCTTAAGATTTTATTATGCTAGTTTGCTTTATAAAGCTAGGCAGCTAGCCAGAACAATGGTCAGATGGTACACCTGTGTAAGGATATTTAATGGCGATTTTAAATAGTGGTTACAAATTAAAGTTACATTTTTAATGCCATAAATGATTTTGGGAGTTTAATTAGTTTTTGTAAAAACTATCATCTTGAGTATTTTAATCTCTTCTCTTTTTCAATCTCCCCATGCTTATTTCTGAAGTAGGCGGAACGGAGATGTGGGGAGGGTTTATTTGATAATGTGATTAAGTTTATAATCAATATTCTGGGTGTTCAACTGTTTTTTCCCCTGTTATTTGTGTCTTCATGATTGAGATGTGAGAAAAACTTCCCCCAGCTTGCTGTAAAAACAGTTTTCAGTTCAGTTCAGTGCACCCTTTGTGGTTAAAACATGTTAATGATTTGCCTTAAAACTGGGAAGTAATTTCCACTGACCTTCTCCCCCTCCCTCTGCAGGGATGAACTCCATCTTTGTGTACGTTGGCCACTCTTTCCTTGGCTTCTACTTCCCTTTCAGCTGGGAAATACGCTTCCAGGAGAGCCACTGGGAGATTTTACTGCAGAACCTATGGGGAACCACGCTTTGGGTGCTTGTCGCCTACCTCCTCTACAGGAAGAAGTTTTTCCTCAAAATTTAAGCTTGCTGACCTTTGTCGCACTTTTAATCTGCTGAGACTGTTTTTCCTTCTCCATTTTTGAAATGCAATTAAAGACAAATACATTTTGTAGTGGGGTGCGTAGATTAATTCAACATCTGTGGGAGATTTACAAAATCCAACTATTGTGCTTGGCTTAAACAACCTACCTGCCGGTATTAAACAGCATGTTTGAATGTCCTGAGCAGAGCTTTCATCCAAGTCCTCCAATAAATCAAACAGTTCGTGGGCAGTATTCTAAGTGTGTGTCCAAAATGTGCTGCAACACAGTGGAAAAAGCATGAAAATCTTCATCCATGAAATCTATTACCCCAGCAGCACCATCTCAGCTGTCAGTGTGGGCAGCTCATTACTCATTTGATGTCACTTGTTTAATGCACAGAACAGACTGATTAGATTAAATTTATTGAGATGATACTTAACAAATTAAGCCAAGTGATTCCACTACACACCAGGCCAATCATTGTGAGTCTGTTGCCATGGCCACTTCTCCACTTATTAAGTGCGTGTGTGTCTGTTTTTGTGTGTGCCATCTGCTGTCCAAGTGACAGTAGTTTAATCGGGGGTCAAGATACACTGTGATGTTAATGGAACTGACACCTCTTGCACTTATTGTATTAGAAAATCAGGCAAATTACACAAATCCAATCAATCAGATGCCCCATCAAAGAACCCAAGCCATAAAGATGCTTTCCATTATGCATAGATATTTATTCAGGCTACTTACATTTGGTCTTAATGTTTATTTTCTGTTTGACCTGATCTTATGCCTGGTGTGATTTGCACACACTAGCACAATGTGTCCATTACAATACTTAGTTTCACAGAGCAGTGTCCCTCAGCATCAGGTCAGGCGATGTGCACATCATGAAATGACCATCCAGTAAATGAAATGAAAGAGCATCATGCTCTCTTTCCAGAGAGAAATCCTATTATGCACTCCTTGGAAGCCGTAATATCATTGCATAATATGGCATAGTGGTTTTTTTCTCTTCAGAAGAAGTCGTTGTTAGAAGCCTAGTAGGTACACCCTGCCCCCTTGAGCAAGACTCAGATCTGTAATTGCTTTTCCAAATAAATGTGCTAGTAATGGAAATGCATGACTGATACTTCACGAGAATGGAACAAAATCAATACAGACTCACCACAGTCATGTAGAGATGTTGTTTGGGCATCTGCATGCGATGATGGTGATTTGAATGATTTGAATGATCATATGCATTGAAAAGCCAGATCACAAGAGAGCCAAAAACAAGCAGTTCACAACAAAGAACAAAACGCTTAGATTAAGAATGTGGTAACGTGGAGGTGACGAGCACTCCGCTCATATTTCAGGATGAGCTCATGCTGAAACCTTGCAACACTTTTCTAAACATTTTGCGCCCCCCGAGTTGAATAATCAGAAAAGCAGTACCTGAAAAACTACTGTGGCTGCAGACAGCATGGCTCACACTGGCTTGTGCCCTTGTTTATCGATCCTTGGCAAGTCTGAGGATGCATATGGTCCGTCGTATGGAAACTTTATCCCACATGCAATGTGCTCATGCTGCCCGCTTGGTTTCTAATGTCATGGAACGATGCCCACAGTCTCCCATGATACAGCAAGAGGCATTACATTTATTCACAATGTCAAAAATGTACCTTTTTTATACAACCCCCCATGTGTGAAACATGTCAATATAAGCATCATTATACAGTTAGTAAATGGTAACTTTTTATATTTGTTCTCCAAAGCTTATAGTAACTAAGAAACCATTTAATTATATTGGTGGCAGTTTGTTCCTGTCAAGGCACCAAGAAGCTCTGCCTTCTCTTCTGCAGGCCAGTGATCCTTATTTTGGTTTCCCTACATGGATTAGAGAGCCACTGATGCCTGAGTGACAGGTGTCTGAGCCGGAGGCTGCAGCAATGCATCACTTAAAACTATCCAATCACACACATGGATGAAAAAGAAAGCCTCCTAACTCAGAGCTCAACCTGTGGGACTTGATCAGATGTGAGGGGCCAAAGGTCACACAGTTTGACCAGAGTTTTGCCAGAGTTTGTTTTCAGTTTCAGAGTGGGGCCCCGCTTTTACTTCAGCCAAACAATCCAGAACCCTGAAAAGTAGTAGGGAAGTGTTACAAAAACGAGAAATCATGGGGTCTGGAGAGAGAAGTGTAGGTAGAAAATGATGTTGATTCCTCGGCCAAATGCATTGCAGCGGTCTAAACGAGCACGGGACTCCAGAATCGGCGCCTGCACCTTTAAAAAACGAAAGCATTGCACGACTAAAGATCATCATTAATACTTTTTTCCCGCACCCGCGGAGCGTTAATGAGAACACTGACCTGCTGATAAATGATGCTCTTAAATTTCCTGTAGATGCTGCTGCGCTGCCTGCTGCTGCGGAAGCAGCGGGGCAGTCAGGCAGTGAACCTTCTCCACCCCCACAGCCCCCTCCCGCCCCCACCCTGACCAGCCTCTGAGCCCAGCAGCAGCCAGCGGAGCCGCACACAGCCGCCCGTCTATGGGACACTGAGGACTCCATCAGGCATCCCCGGAGCCCCGGGGGAAGGACGTACACCCGCTCTTTTTGGTTATTCCTGTCGGTTAGATTGCTATTTTTTTCCCACCAGTGGAACTTTCTTATTCCTCTTCTTTTTAAAAAAACAAATCGTGTTCCTATTAAGAAACTTTCCCTTATGGTTCGCAAATATGGGGTCAAGTTGTGGTTTCTCTCTGGGAGACATCGTTCGGCTGCTGCTGCTGTTTGGAGGTAAGGTTAATCATCAATTTGCCTTGAAAGTCACAGAAAAGGTACACAGAAAATGATAAGGTGGGGGATAAAGAATTACGAGCTGCACGAAAGTATGTTTCGGATTTTAAATGGATGAATGGGAAATAAAACAAGGACGTTGGCTATATATGTACTTGACAATAATTCTACTTTAAAAGAAAACCAGGGTTTTGTCTGTTGAATTTGTTCCTTGTTTGTCAAATTGGCCATCACGTCTGTGTGTGACTGTGTGTCTGTGTGTGTGGGTGTATGTGTATGAGAGGGCAGATTAACTTATTATGTTGAGTTGGAGTGCTAATTAAAATCCTTCAAAAAATGTCTAAAGCAAAAGTGAGTGCAATAAAGAGAAGTAAAGAGGAGAGGGAAAGGCTTCCTCAGCCTCTCAGGGGCAGAGCCAGTGGACCTGAAGTGTAGATTGCAACCTGGCCGCTCATGTGTAAAAGCTAAATTGCTTTCCTAAAAGCATTTTGGAAGCTGAGTGATTTTTAAGGGTCTTTTCCGAGAAGTACCTGAAAAGGAATGAGCACAATGCCAGCTCTGTGTCAGCCAGCAGAACGTGATACCGGCGTCGTGCGCTTGTTGTTATGCCTGGTATGGCTCCGGTCGAGTGAATACCGCCATATATCATAATATCATAATCCCATTCACAATCCCACAGCCCAACTGTACCAACACCGTCCTCCCATGCAGTCTATATTTAAAGTGTCCCTCATAACTGTGGACTTTGGGAATCTCAGTGCGCAGAGAGCATGCTGAACGTGAAGCCTGGGCAGATTTAGGACAGTGCGTGGATTTCCTCAGTTTGTCTGTCAAACTGAAGGTGGGTCTTTATGGAGGAAACAGTTTAGACTTTTACCCTGCGTGCAGAAAGTGCGAATGGGATGATCATCACGGTGCTAAGTGGTGTTAAAACGAGGGGGAAAAAACTGCTTTGTGGATGAGTTACTGCTATTTTATATCTGCAAAGTGGGGTCACCTATAAACGAGAGGCCTGCGTAATCTCCCAGGGGAACAGTTTTCTTTGAGTTGATAAAATAATTGATGATATTTTCTAGACACATGTAGACATATGATTTTTTCTGCGCTGATGAACGCTTTGAGTTTAGGTGATGTAAGCCCACGTCCATACAGTAAATATCCCCCTACTATAACCCGAACGCGCACCCACACCCCACCTCATTCTTTGCTTTTCGTATGTTTCCCCCCGAAGCAAGCTTTTTGTCCTGTCACATGTCTCGATGAGCACCGTCATCCTCCCACATCAAGGCCGTGCTGGTAATTAAATGGGCGCTGAAACGTGCGTCCCACCAAAGTGCGGCGCCCATCACCTGCCTGCGCGCGGCAACAAAAGGACCAACGCTCATTCAGAGAGGAGAGGAGGCAGGCTGCGGACAGGTGTGCAGCAGCTGCTCCTATCTCTGGGCAAACACTGGCTGTTTGTTTTCCTCGGGAAAATATCCCCTGTTATGCAAGTGCGCACGGTTCTCCAACAGCGTGGCACACGTAAACTTTCATTGAAAGAAGCAATTAGATTTAATTTGCCCTATTGGTTAATTGTAATCCACTCATTCTTTAAACTTCTTTTGAGTCATCGGTCAGTTTGAAATGAAGTATGTAGCGTTTTTTTTCTAAATCTGAGGTGGATTTCCGTTGGGGTGTAAGGGCTTAGGAGGTAGGCCTATGCGTTTTCAGGGAATTTCAAGTTTAACGACTGGTTTAGTGTTTCTGTCTGAGATCATCCAACAAAGGAAATGTGCAATTAGCGCCCTCCATTAGATACATCTGCCTTTTAAAAACGTGACTGAAACTCTGTGCTTCAGAAGTCAAACATTTCCAGACATATGCAGAGTAGATGGTGAAGTGCCTCTGTAGTTTGGTGTGTATTTTGGAGCTGATGCTCTGAAGTGTCAGAATTGACTTTTGGTTTAGAGCCCTATCTCAAGAGGTCACTGGAATAATCTTTGGATTCAATCACGATAATGCAGATCCGGACAAGGCCCCCTTTGTTTTATTTTACAAAGAGGTCAAATTCACTGTTGTCTGTTGAGTGTGACCCAATCCAATGGAAGGCTATATTGAAATTGATCAAATCTGTTAACAAACGCAGCTCTGTAATCCATCACATCCACAAAAGGAGCCACAGATGTTTTCGCATAAAATGTATTGATCCGTTTATCTTCCTCTGTGACCTTGCTACTGTATCTTTGACCCTTTGTTGCCCTCTGACCTGTGAGGCAAGTGGTAGCCCACGGTGATGACCTCCTCCGCCCCGGAGGGGGCCTCTTCAGTTCCTCCTCCACACTTTCGACTGGCCTTTTTCATCAGCACCATTTCCCTTTGAGGAGAGCCAGACCAATAAATCTCATTTGATACTTGCTCCTATTTGATTTAGCACATTATATAATTCAGCGAAGATTCTTTATCATGTTATGTGTCCAGGATCAATCTTTTTCAGTCTGTTGTCACGCTGCCAGTATGTTTCTTTTCGTGTAGTTAGATTATTATATTCAACAAGTCATTCTTTGATGTTATAGGGTGTTAACGGCATTGCTTGACTTTAAAACTTTAATGTTAAATGTATATTGTCTGTTATTGACATCGTGCAAGAGGAGGCAAAAATACATCGTTTTCATGAGGTGGTTAGCCTGTCAAAGTTTCTCTTTTATTTTTCTTTGAAAAAGAAGTGAATAAATAGCTCTAATTCTGCCGTTTACTGCAAACGCTCAGATGGACAGCATAAATTCAGCACCTTTTGACTGGATCTTGATTCAGGCACCACCCAGTTTGTTCCTGTGGCCTTTGCTGAGAGTCCCGCCCTCCAACTCTGGGCTGTTGCTTCAGCTGCTGTTGCATGGATGCTGCTCCTACCTGTCAAAGCTCCATGTCTGATCCTCTAGTCAGTTCAGGGTCACACTTGCCTCTCATGCATGGGCAGAATCTAATTTGCTGTGGTGAAAGGACAAGGAGACATTGATTGAAACTTTGCCCCAGAGGCATTTAGTCCCCTGGTTTCACATGGGTTTTGACAAGTTGTTATCCAGTTGCCTCACTGCACACGCCGCGTTTTACCCTCCACTTATAACGATGAAAGGAACAAAGAACAAGCACAGCTCATTTGAATCCATCTGGTCAGAATGACACTGCAAAAATCAATATTATAGGTTATTAGTTTTGCACTGAAAATCTTATTTAGTCATTTCACTAAACAAAGGAAACTGTATTTTTCTTTAGATGGCAAATAAAACCTTTGCTTTATCATGTTTGCCATGGCATCTGTGTTGTTCCGTCCTGTAATTAACCGAATAACAAAAAAGGAACATCTATAAACATTGCTTCATCTTTTCTCAGAACAGACGACTCAAAAGCTGTCACTTTTAATTCCGCTGGAAGATCAGTCCTCTCTAATCGCTGTGGAGCCACGTCCCTTTTTCTGTCATCCTGTGAGCAATCAGATTCACCATGAAACCTGACTTGAAAAGTAAATGCCTCTCTCAACATTGCCCGTTTTTCTTTCTTTTCTCATCACGCGTTCAAAGTAAGCCAGAGCAAATCTGGTAAATATGTCTCGCGCCAACTCAGCCGGCCTCTGAAACTATTTAAACCCAGTACATGTAAATGGAATGAGAAATCGGAGGCACAAGTGAATCCCAATTGCTACGACTATCCCCCGAGTTTCAGTGAGCGCACTAATTAGGTTGCAATATTAATTTGTCTAATATACCACCACTAATGGCTTGTGACTCGTGCCTTCAGCAGGATAATCATTTGCAAGAATCATTTTACTTCAGATTTGTGTGACTTCCTGGTTTTTATACTGCCATTATGTCCAATTTAGCAGTAAAGCAGATGCTTCATGGGAATAGTGGACTCTGTCTTGGCATGATATGAAGGGCTTGTGTTGTATGGTAGAAATACTGTTTACGTGGATGCAGTTCACACATGAACTAAGAAGAAGCTTGTGTTTCTTACACTGTGAGTTTGAATGTTTGCTTAAGCTCCTGTTAGCCCCAAAGCCCCCGACCTTCTGTATGCTTCTGAGCAAATATAATGGCAGTTTTGCCATCACTGTGAGGAGGACAGTTTTTCTTTTATCAAAGTATTCTAATGGCTGGTGCATCAAACTCAGTCTGGAGCTCCACAGCACGTCACATGTTCAATTTTTGATGCTACCCTCATCCTCAGAGGAATCCCTAAACTGAATTTGCTCTTGCAGCTAACCCTTAGGGAAGCTTTCTATTAGATTTCCTGATGACTGATGAACATGGATCATTGGATCTCAGCTCTTGTATTCTCCTAGGGCTAATTGGATTACATTACAACATAATTGATCATTATGTTATGGTATGCATCGTGGTAAACTGAGTAATCTACCTGGAGCCCGACTGCCTCCCTCAAACTCAGATCAAATGTCTTGTTATGCTGATGAAAACTTTCGTGATCGTGTCATCCTAACAGGAAATTACTGTCTCGTTTTCTAGTTTTGAGATTAGAAGCAACATAGCCACGATAATCCATGTCTTTAGTCTCGAGTGGTATGATGAAGCAACGCGTAATGGCTCAGGAAAAAAAAAGAGAGTGAGAGATTTCAAAACAATTTGATCAATAACAGCTTTCAGAAGTGGAATTATAGTTGAATGTGCAGCTTTTTAGTTAATTGAATCTCTGAAGAGAGCCATTCCCATAACTGTTACGTCTTTGGAAGCAGAGTAATCATGATAGTTTTCAGAGTGATTATAATGTTTATTGTGTTTTTATCACCTTGATGTGACTGCTCCTTAGCGTAACTGGCAATAGCTGATTTGTAATGGATGACAAATTATTTGGAGCGTGGATATTAATGCAGTGAATTGTGGAGCTGGCTGTGAAATCAAACCCACGAGCAAAGAATATGATCATGCACACGGAGCACATTATTCTGCAATGATCACACACATGCAGTCCTGAGCCTTTTCCCCGTGCTCGTCTCATCAGTGAAAAACAATCAGCATCACTGTTGATTAGTACTGTTATTGATCAGCCTGCTGCCAAACACACTGCCTTTTCCAACGGGTCCTTATCAAGGACAGATGCAGCACGTGTCAACCTTGGGCTCCAGTCTGCGAATAAGATTATTGAGGGGAATGACCCAAACAGCAGCCGGAGATGGGTGATATTCTCCCCGAATTGGCATGCCTTTGACGAAGATGCTCGCTCAGGATGTCTGACTTAAGTGTTGTGTCATTGAGATTGAGTTTGCGGTGGATACACAGAGGTAGATGAGCAACCTTTGTGGGCTACTCCAGCCCATGAGCTCATAGCTGGTAAATCTATCAGCAGAGGCACGCATTGAGGTAATTGAGTTCCTGTCTTTGTCTGGGACGTTGGAGAGAGGGCGTCCCACCCTATCAGCTCTGACTTGTCTGAGACACTCCATTGGTTCTATGGGCGAATGTGATGAGCTTTTGTTCTTTTTGCTAGGGCACAGATAAAAAAAGAGAACACACACATTTATATCTATCTATCTATCTATCTATCTATCTATCTATCTATCTATCTATCTATCTATCTATCTATCTATCTATCTATCTATCTATCTATCTATCTATCTATCTATCTATCTATCTATCTATCTATCTCTAGTTCTATATATAAATATGTATATATCTATCTATCTCTCTCTCTATATATATATATGCATATATACGCATATGGATAGGCGACATTCACAATTAACATATGTGTATGGGTGTGTCAGGGATTTCTACTGTTTCTTTTCTATGTTTTGTTGTGTTGCGTGTGTTCCGTCTCCCTGTCCACTTTGCAGTACATTATATCTACTGTAAACATAGATGGCTACAAGAGTCCTCTTGTTCAAACACAGTCTCTGTTTGCAAAATCACTTAATCTCTCTTTTGAAGAAATGACGCCATATGTAGAAGCCCAGAATTGGTTTTTATAGGTGATTAAAAGCTGTAAAACAGCTTTTTTATGACAGCACTGTTTGCAGGCTTTGATTCGAGACAGGCCGGAGCTGAATCAAAACTGCTCAGTGTCCCCATCTGAAATGGGCATTCTGATCTGTCCCCAAATATGTGACGCTGAAGCAAAGCCTCCAATTATTTTTTGAGCCATTATCCACACATTGCCGCAGCAGGTGAAATGTCATCACTGTCTTCGTTTATGTTATTCTGGAGCACCATTAAGGGAAGGTAATGACTGAGTCATGCTTTGGGAAATAATAATCATGGCTTCACAGACCAAAGATGCCATTTGCAAAGGCAGGCCTGCTCTATCCATTCAATTAATTAGTTTTGATATAAACTGCTTGCTTTCTGTTGGCTGCTGTCCTGGGGAGAAATTGAATTTTAAATTATGTAAACAAATTGTGTTGCAGGGGGTCCAGCCTCAGTGGCTTAGAGCCAAGGCTTGCCTTCACAAATGAGTCCAGCTTCCACCGGTTAGCACGCTGGACCCTCCAATTTTATTTGTGGAGCTCCTGTCATCTCCTGAATTTGATTCATGGCATTGCCATGTGTACAGTTTATATAATACATTTTCTTAATTTATCTAAAAGAGGGTTGAAGAGAAGAGTGTTTAAAATGGTATTAGATTATCATACATCTTACAAAACCAGTACCGGCATTAGTTTCAGCATTACTTAAAATGCATTACAGTCCTGATTGAGATCATTTTGAGCCTGTCGGCATGATAACAGCTCCCTCTAATGGACATTTTTAACAAAAGCCCTGCATATGCATCCATCTCCGGAAGACTTTGAATCATAACTAGAATGTAAAAGCACACCTAATTACATAGAACCTATTATTTATATCAACTTGTTTATATCAACTTGTTTTTGTGGGGAAACTCTCCACTGCTGTTACTGAAAGTTTCTCAGAGTTAGATTAATCTTCATCTCATAGTTGCTCACAAAAAAAACAACCTTACATATCTGTAAACAGGTATATGTTGCATCCTAGATGCATATTTGAAACATAGCATGAATTCTTTTGCTCTGGTCATAAACAGGAGTCATGAAACTGACTCCTGCCTTCCCCAAAGGGCTGACAGAGAAGTGGCCCTGTTGTTTGTTTTCATCCCAGAAACACTTTTAATAAAAAGGCCTGTAGCCTCATTGAGTGTATCTCCATCCTTCAGGAAGGACGGCCACATTTTATCCATCAGTTCAGCCTCCTGTCATCTAAGCCTGGTCAAATTAAATCAATGCCTGAAACCGGAGCCGAGGCCTGAACGGCAACAACAGAAATAGAAAATCTAGTTTTGCAGTCTGCTAATGACATTAGTGCATTCCCTAAATGGTGGCCTACCGTCATCAAAGAGGAACACAACAAGGATATAATTACAGGCGGAACACATCTCCATTTTCCTGTAAAACACACAGCCGGCTATAGTGCTTTATGGATTACCCCACAGCACACACACACTTACACAGGTCCCACACCCCCTCTGGCAGGTAATGATTCATTCCACAGCCCTATCATGTTATCCCTTGTAATTAAACTTCTCAAGGTGAAGGCAAGGAGAATCGGAAACCACATGTTATTGACCACATGAGAAATTCATTAGAAAAGCTGCATTAAGTGTCATTTGAGTCTTCCTTTCAATTTCCGCAAGCTGGGAGATGAAAGCTGTATCAGGATAAGGGGGTGGGGGAGGGACCTGTCATATTGCATGTATGTATTAATTTTCTTTCAGTGGCCAGACACCATTGTCCAAGGGTATTGTTACCACAGTTAAACACCCGGAGCCAGATTTCTGATATCAGCTGTCATCCTTCTTCTCTGTCATAATAAGAGTCATAAGCAGTAATGTCAGGCTTTCATTTCAAGTTGTGATAATGTTTTCCTGACGTGAGTCCAACAGGTTGTCCTATATTTGACTTTCCTAATGGTTTCTCAGACGTCTGGTAATTCCTCGTCCTCTCTCTGTAGGAGTTACAGGGCTGTACTTCCCTCAGAAAGAGTACAGTGAGACGGTGTACATTGGCCAGCCAGCAGGGAGCCCAATCCTCCAGGTCCACGCCATGCTGGACAGCAACTCGGAGCGGCCGCATTTCTACCTGTGTGGGAGACGTCAGCTCTACAGTTCTTGGTTCCACATGGACATCCCCACCGGAGTATTATATCTGAACAAAACTCTGGAGGAGACGGACCTCTCCTCACTGCGTGAGTTGCACTCAAGCCTTTTGAAATGAATACATGCTCCCATTTCTTTGCCAGAGGAGGTTCTTGATATTTACTCTCTTTGCATACTAATAGCGCTTTGGCACAGTGCTCAGGACTCTGCCATCAGCATAATAATGTAATTGAAAAGCTCACAAAGGAGCTAAGTCATCAAAAAAGAGCACTGTCTTAGATTAAAAATGTCTCTTGTTTTTTGTTATGGCTTCGCGTCTCATCAGAACAAAATCCATGGCCGCCGAAGAAATTGTCCCTTCAAGTCATTGCTTTGAATGGCTTCACCAAGCGGTCCCAGTGCGTCACGGAAAGATCCGCTCACATCACGCTGGACTTTGTCAATGGCACCATGCCACAGTGTGCTCAGACGGATATGAAGGAACTTTGCTTCCCGTACAGAGACACCTCCAACCCCCATATCACAGAAAACAGGTTCCCTGGGGCCCTCCGGCAAATGCGACGTCTCACAAGGATCAACGTTTGCACCAACTACACCATCTCCTACACTGTGGAATCTGGTGAGACGCAGATGTTTTAGAGCTGAATTACTCATTTAGATTTGGGCCACCAGTGCCGTCACGCTGATAATCCACACAATCTATGATTTAGCTTTCCCATCCAACCCCCCCCCTCCCCACATCCAGCTCACCTGAGTGTTTGCGGTTGCCTGCAGATACCCCGGGACCTTTCGCTGTGAACGAGAACACCACGGAGCTGGTGGTGACTGCTCCCTTGGACCGAGAGGAGAGTGAATGCTACCGGCTCTTAATGGTTTGCACAGTCCGAACGGACACCCGCATCACCAAGGTGGAAACCTCCCTGGATGTCTTTGTGGACGATGAGGACGATAACGCGCCATACGTCAACGGAACTGACACTGCAGACGTGGTCATCAGCTTCAATCGGACTAAGGTGGGCAGACCTTTGATCTGATCGTTTTTTCATCCTGAGTTTGTTCTGGTCAAACCTATCTTCACAAAAAGACTCAAATTTCCCACTTTTTTTTTCAGGGTGGAACTTTTGGCACCTTGTTTGTCTTTGATAGGGATCTAACAACCATATTTCCTAGAGACCGGAGTCACAATAGATATGTGGAGACATTGCTCAGCAATGATGCCTGGATAAAAGAAACATTTGACATAAAAGGCAACTTTAATGAAAGAAGAGTTGCTCATAGAGGCATTCGAGAGTCTGTCCATGACTACCGTAAGTTATCTAGATGACACAGAAACCATTTTTTTTCCCACACAACCAATTAGTTAATAAGAAGGAACAGTTTTTCACAATCTTCCTCTTGTTTCAGAGCTCGTCCTGAAGAGGAACCTGTATGTGACAGAGAATCGAAGCGTGTATCTGGATTACCTTGTCAACGACACCACTTATCCTGGTCTAGAAGGAACAGTGTTGCTGCACTTCAATGTTACCATCTTACCGGTCCACATCAATTTTGCCAACATCACACACACGTTCACTCTGTCACGCAAAGCTTCTGTTTATGCAAAGGTACAGTACTCAGGAATATTGGCATTTCCCTTCTCATCCAAAGGGCTTTTTTATACCTTCAAGGTACAAGAAGTAGTCTATTTGCCCTCATTCAGGCTCTTCCAATGACCATACTCACTTTTATTTTCCCATTCGGTCAGCAACCAGTAATTGCTTCTATTCTAATTCATACATTGTTATGAAGTCGTTATACATTATTAATGTGGAGCTACATGTAGTTCCATTTCAACTGACGCAAGATGGGATCAATACATATAAACATTTTGTCCGGCTGTAAGCAATAAATTAATTTATTAGAGAAGAATCTACCATTGCACAGTATTGAAGCAAAGCTAAATGTTTAATAACTAATATTATCCAGTCCAGCTGCTGTCTGCACTTTTCATGGTTCCTGCTTTGCGACTTATAAAGCAGAGGGATGTTTGGATTGTGACACAGGATGATTTATTTTTACTCTTCCGCTCCTCCTGATGTTGGAGAATTGAATCTCTTATTACCATACTAATGCACAGCGAAGCCCCTTAATATTGTGTCATGTTGAACAGGCCGTAAAGATGCCATCACAAATCTACGAAAATGTCGGCAAAAGAGTGCATTGTGGGGCTGGAAACCAAAGTTTTGAAAGGCTGTATTTTAGCCCCTCGGTGCTTCTGTATTGTGGGAATGTGCATAACAACTCAGTGTGTGTCTAAAAGAGTCAGAGGCACGCAGCTTTAAGGATAACTAACTTCTCTAACGCAGCTTTAAATCACCCACCAACGGTCTGCGTCTTGGCCCGTGTCTCATCAGGTTGGCAGAATCTGCGTGGAAAACTGTCTGCTGTTTGATGGCTTCGGTGTGACGTACCAGCTTGAGGTGCCAGATAAAAACATTTCTGCTGACTTGATGTCCTGCTATGCTGCCATAAGCATCACTCAGGCTGAGGAGGGGACCTGGGGACTGTTATATGTGAATGACTCGGAGGCGCTGAGCAAGCCTGAGTGCCAGGAACTGCAGTACCTTGTTGTAGCTCAGGAGGGACACACACAGCTGGAGGCCACCACTCAGATCCACATCGTGCTGGATGGTGAAGGTAAAGTTAGTTTCGTGCTTGTACTGTGCTTGTATTATGGACATTTATGGGCATTTTCTGTGATCATTTCATGCTCTTTAGCGATTCATTTCAGTTTAGCTTCCTAACTCTTTCCCACCCGGCGCACATGCAAACACATTTTATGATCAGCTACCCCTCTCCCTAATGGTCTTTAAAGATTTAATTACGTGTGCCTTTGGCTCTGTTATATGCAGCACTCAAAGCCAGCCAGGAGAGCCAGCAGTTCCTGTCCTGTGCAGAGAACAGGCAGCGAGGAGAGTGTGAGTCTGCTCTCGGCCTGGGAGCAACGGCAGGGAGATGCCAGTGGAGACAGGGCACTGGCAAAGGTACAGTTTAATCAACGGAAACTTAAGAGCAAATCAAAGCTGTGTTTACTTCACGATCACGTGACACTTTCACATAACCAAGTACTTCTGAGACCTTGCAGTAATCCACCAGAACCAAATGAGAACAGTGGTGGTAACAGAGGGAAAGAGTGGCCCAGATCCTGCATGTGTTTTCCTTTCATCTGCAAGGCTCAGAAAATATCATTTGAAACAGATCAGACACAAATGTCAACAACATCCTGCCATTATTGTAAAAAAAAAAATGATTTTTTTTACTGAAAAACTTTGAAATTTTGCAATTTTCCACTTTTACCACTTCAAAGCAAACATTTTCAAATGAGTTGCTATTAAAAAAACAACTTTAAAACGATTTAGGCTTCTGCTTTTCTAAATCTTTTTTCTGTTTCTGCCCTTTTTCACTCAAATCGCAGGAATATCCGAAAGTTACTCCACGTGTTCCCCTGACCTGCGAACATGTCCAGATAGCATTTGTGATGCGGTGGAAAGCAAAGACAGGTCAATATGCCCGCAGGACTGTACAAGTAAGAACCAAAACCAAGCCTCTTTTCGCTTACACATGCAGCGCCGTCCTGCATTAGTGAGACTGTGCTGACATTTCCCGTGGCTCTGCAGGGGAAGCTGTGATTGGAGGGCACGAGCGAGGCCTGACTGGGTTCGGCATCAAGGCCTGCCATGGAACCTGCTACTGCTTTGCTGATAAATGCTTTTGTGAGAAGGCAGATATTGAAGGTGAGCTACCACAAAGTAAAATCATAAAACAAAAAAAATGTATTTTTGATTAAAAAACAAAACAAAAAACAGAAGTTACAATCTACCATTCTCTCCTCCAGAGGTTATATGTGATGAAATGTGTAAGACCATCATCGCCACAGCTCTGCTCCTCTCCTTCATTGTGTCCATCCTCCTGTCCTCATACTTCATCCACCGCTACCACAAGAACACACCAAAGCCACCGATAGCTTCAGCTGAGATGACTTTCCGTCGACCAGCGCAGGCCTATCCCAGAAACTTTCCAGCAAATAACCTACGCCGGGGCTCCCAGGAATCCATCGAAACGGACACCTTTAAAATACCTGTAAGATTCATTCGGTTTGTCACAGACTTTTATCCATTTTCTATTGTGTGTTTTATCCTGGTACGATGCAAATGTCATTATGCTGTGTGAACAGGAGGATCCAAAGTGGGAGTTTCCTCGTAAAAACCTTGTACTTGGCAAGACTTTAGGAGAAGGAGAGTTTGGGAAAGTCGTCAAGGCAACGGCCTTCAGGCTGAAAGGAAAAGCTGGTTACACGACCGTGGCTGTGAAAATGCTTAAAGGTAAAACTATCCATTCAAAAGCCAAACAAGCCTGGAAGTAGTTTGATACATGAGCAGTTACTTCATCCTTGCAATTCGCCGCTTTCCCCTGTGACAGAGAACGCTTCGCACAGTGAGCTGCGTGACCTCCTGTCAGAATTTACTCTGCTGAAGCAAGTCAACCACCCACATGTCATAAAGATGTATGGAGCGTGCAGCCAGGATGGTAAGACCTCGGTCTTCCTGCCAATCTCTCTTACAGCACGCACGCTGCCAGCTGAGTCTCAGTGCCACGTTTCTCTCAATAGGTCCATTGTATCTCATCGTCGAATATGCCAAGTACGGGTCACTCCGTAATTTCCTGAGAGAGAGCCGGAAAGTTGGCCCCAGCTACATGGGCAGGGATGCAAACCGAAACTCCAGCTACCTGGAGAACCCAGACGACAGGGCCCTCACCATGGGAGACCTGATCTCCTTTGCCTGGCAGATATCCAGAGGCATGCAATATCTGGCAGAAATGAAGGTATTAAACAAACATCCCTATGATTTTATGACAGTGTGGTTGCACGCATGACTTCTGAAAGAAGCAGAAATATCAACATAAAGGTTATTACCAAATAAATCAAGATGAAAAATCCCGTGAAAGGAAAGTACTGATGGTTTTTAATCATTTTGTTTGAACTGGAACACTGCAACATTTTTAAGGGTCAGTTGAGGACAGAGAGGAAAATCAACAAAATGTCAGCTTTGGCGACAGTAGTATAAATCTGAGATGAATTGGAACCTGTAAAGCAAAAAGTTCAAATCCTTTAAATGTGTGAGCAGTCTCAGGTGGTTTACATAAGCTTGTTTGTCCTACAGCTTGTTCACAGGGACCTCGCTGCACGAAATGTCCTCGTAGCCGAAGGACGGAAGATGAAGATCTCTGACTTTGGCCTTTCAAGAGATGTTTATGAGGAGGACTCGTATGTAAAGAGGAGCAAGGTAGAGAGAAAAGCTTCATTTTGCTGAATTATAAACAACCTGTGACACAAGGTCCAATAAGGTCTTTTCCTCTTCACCAGGGTCGTATACCTGTGAAATGGATGGCGATAGAGTCCTTGTTTGATCACATTTACACAACACAGAGTGACGTGTGAGTATGACTTCATTATAAAAAAGGGGGATATATATAGTATTTTGGAGTATTATTTTGATGCAAGACTTGAAATATGGACCAACCTGTATCCAGATATATATCAAAGATACTTCTAATCACAACAGCTAAAAAAAAAAAAACAGCACCAAGGAAGATATTTTTCTCCAAAATGGCTGTAGACAGTATGTTTAGCTGAATTTACAAAATAAATCTTGATACTTTTTTTTATTGCCACACTTCCTGCTTTCACTTCTCTGTGTTGTGCGCTTAGTTCTGCAGCTCATACAAAGCTGTTGTACAGTCACCGTGTTTGTTTGGGACAAGAATTCTGCCTTCTGATGTCTAATGTTTACATCCATGACATGTATCCATCTTTGGCCATCTTTATCATATTTAAGACATTTATTTAATCAAATTTTCCAAAAACTTACGTTTGAAGTGAAGTGATTTGAATCATCCACAAAGAACTTTAGACAACATCCTCCTTTTGAAACCACAAAGTATTTTTAATATATCAAGAAAAGTTACAAGACATTGACAGGGAGCGTTTGGCTAGCTTTGGCTTTGTTTCCTTCCTTTGTGCTAGGTAATCATTTGCTGGTTGCATCATCAGACATGCACAAGAGACTTGATCAGTATTTTCATACAGCTCTGAGAAAGAAAATAAAGGTTTCCAAAACATCTGAGTTCAGTGAATTGTTGTGGTGTTTTCCCCCAGCTGGTCCTTTGGTGTGCTGCTGTGGGAGATAGTGACGCTGGGAGGGAATCCATACCCGGGCATCGCACCTGAGCGCCTATTCAACCTCCTCAAGACGGGATACAGGATGGAGAGACCAGAGAATTGCTCCGAGGAAATGTGAGCTCTCCTTTCATACTGCATCACGCCCTGTCAGGAATCACCTCATTTCTGTTGAGAGCTGTAACTCTCCTTTACCACATGAAGACAGCAAGTCGTGGAAAATGATCCTATTGGGAGGAATAACTGAAACCTTTTCCTTTTTAGGTATAACCTCATGCTACGATGCTGGAAACAAGAGTCAGACAAGAGGCCAACATTCTCAGACATCAGCAAGGAGCTGGAAAAGATGATGGTGAAGAGTCGGGTACGGTGAAGCTTTAAAATACATTATCATTAAGAAGCTTTGGGAAGCTTTGAGCCTTGACTAAACGTCACTGAGATCTGACAGCGTGTCGCTTCCCTCAAATTTTGCAGCTGGTTCAAAACCAGCGCTGCTGTGGATTCCGACCACACATACTCTGTTCTATTGTGTTGGCTTTCCCTCTTCCCAAACACTTTCAGATACTATAATTAGTGTATGAGGAGCGACCCTTAAATGTGGCCTTGGGCAGCGTAATAACAGATCAGAGCTGTCAGGCTCCTGCCACTGGAAGTGAGGATAAGGAGATAGGAATGCAGGCATCTCTGAATACAACAGTCCCAACATCTTGAGTGGGAAAGTCAAAAAAGCCAATGTATGTGGAGTGGTGTCTGCGGGATCTGACTGACAGTGCATGTGTCTGAGCTTTAGCGTGAACACACCGGGCCTTAGCATGCTGCCAGTCGTCTGCTCCATAATCAGCCTAATCACACCCTCATCTGCTCTCACCAGGATTACCTGGACCTGGCAGCGTCCACCCCGGCTGACGCCCTGCTGTACGACGACGCACTCTCTGAAGAGGACACACCCCTTGTGGACTGTAATAACGCCCCTCTCCCTCGAACCCTCCCCTCCACATGGATTGAAAACAAGCTCTATGGTAGAATCTCCCATGCATTTACTCGATTTTAGAAACAGGACACACTACACAAGCTCTCTTTTTTGGCAAGCTGTGATTGGCTTTTCTGTAGTCAAGTGTGTGTGACTGTGATCTAGGCATGCCTTTTGTTGTTTGATGCTGACATATCTCCCATTTCATCGTAAATGAGAGGCTCAGTGAGAAAGAAAAAAAAAAGATCTTGTGTCTTGACTTTTTTCTGTTTGTTGTTTGTTTGTTTGTTTTCTTTGGACCTGCTTCTAATGTACATGAACGCTGACCAAAAATGCAGCATTTGTATATATTTACTATATATATTCCCTTCATTCTTATTTATAAGCCATAATTCCTATTCATATGCCATCTGCATCTAATTTGTAAATAGCTCATTTTTCCAATTCCATGCCATTTCGGTTGCTATCGTTTCAACGTTTGTTTGCACTGGAGGAGACAGTTTGTAACATTTGAAACAGGTCCGCACCGATTCAGTCATTAACTGTGGTTCGAAGTCCAGATTGTCTGTCCTGACTTTCTTATATGCATTAGAGATAAACCTATTTTAATCACACAATGCTGATCAGAGGAACAGTGAGGCTTTTGAATACAACTCTCAGGTGAAAATGATTCAAGGTAAATAGCAAACTTGAGGAGTTGATTGCATTAAAATTTCTTAAATGACCAAAGGAAAGCTCCTGTTAAAATCTCAGTAGATTAAGAAATATTGTTGTCAAATCAGGGGCTGTTGCAGAGAAAGACACCACTGAGTTTGATTTGAAAGCCTTACTGTTGGCACGCTGTTTACCTTTCACTGAGTGCAGAAAAATGATATGTTCTCATTTTTAGGCATGTCATACCCCAACTGGCCCGAGACGAGCCCGGTACCGCTCAACAGACATGATGCCACTAATCCAGTCTTTACAAGATATGCCAATGATAGTGTTTATGCAAACTGGATGGCTTTGCCTTCACCCGCAAAAGCTGTGGACAAGCTTGATAGTTAAAGACAAATCAACACTGTAGAAAAGATGACTAATTGGTAGATGTATATATTTCTGTAAGACTGTACATAAACGATCTGATGTTAAAGTTGGTTCCCTTTTATTTCTGTTGCACGGGTATTGAAGTTTTACTGGGGTCTCTTTGCTGCAAAACTGTCAACAATGACCATGTTCCATTCAGCTCTTCACTGTTAATCATTACCTCACAGGTCATGTTGGCCAAGATGTATCACTGCATGACTATTGTACAAGATTGTATGTCAGTCTCAAAGTCTTTTAAGTGCCTGTGCTGCTTCTACAATAGCCTCCAACTGTCAGTGTGCAACCACGCAGATGTTGTTCCAGCCCAGGAATGAGAGAGGACGTCTTTACCATCACTGGTTGCAGAAAGCTAGGATTGAGTGGACAAAAGTGAAACGCTGAACTGGTTCTGAAAATTTAAAGTTTCTACTTATTGGGGATTGTGCTCCTCAAAATGTCAAAGACCCATTTTTGTGTTTGTCCCACAAGATGATTCAAAGCTGCCAAAGAAATGCAAACGTGTTCCATGAACTGTTTTCTTATATTTGCTTTTGTTTTTGACTGCTTACTTTTATTCTTTTTTATTTTTCGTTATAAATATCATCTAGTGAGAAACACTCCACTAATAGGACATAATGTAGATTATGACCATGTCCTGCGTCAGGCAACAGTTCACATTTCCATTCACTGTAATGATTATGTAAACCAATGAGTGACACTGCTGTTATGTTGTTATTTGATTATGTTCCAGTTAATAATAAATACTAAAAACATGCATTTGGTCTGTTCATTCAATGTGTTTGAGATCGTGATGTGTCTCACCATAGTGTTTTTCTGCCAAATGACTCCACATTTGGCCATTTTTGAGGATTTTGAATCAGTTGTGGCAGCGCGGTGGTGTGTTGGTTAGCACTGTTGCCTCCCAGCTAGAAGGTTCTGGGTTCAAGTCCCAGGGGACCCAGGACCTTTCTGGGTGGAGTTTGGGGTTCTCTCCAGGTTCTCCGGCTTCCTCCCACAGTCCAAAAAACTGCATGTTAGGTTGATTGGACATTCCAAATTGCCCTTAGGAGTGAGTATGAGTGGTTGTTTGTCCTTGTATGTCTTGTGTGTGGCCCTGCGGTGGACTAGCGGACTGTCCAGGGTGTACCCTGCCTCTTGCCTGTTGACCACTGGGATGGGCTCCAGTTCCCCCCCATCAGCGGTATTGATAATGGATGGATCTTAGCACATAAAAATCGTAGAAATTTAAGAGGGTTCATCTTCTTTTTCACAGCTACAACAGGGATTTAGTGTATAATCAGGGCAATAAAACAACAAGACAGTATCATAAGACAGAGGAAATGTGTTTATGGTATTATAATGTAATGAGTGTGGAACCACTGACCTGTTCTTGTTGCGTCACAGCTGATATTTTCTCCAGACTCCTGCCACCTTTCAGGAGAAGTGATAGAGGAAATGGATGAAAGAATGAATAAATATAGATCCTCCGGAGAACATTTCCTGATTTGCTTGGAGAAGCACAGCGATAACAGATGACAGGTTTGACCATTTAACTTGTGATGTACGGCCAGTTTGAAACCATATCGGTGTTAATTCAATTAGGAGATGTCAGGTAGTGTATCATCACAGATAAGATGTTTGCGTCAGTAGAACAAATAGAAAGAAGGAGACTGTCCTAACGGTTTAATGCAATTAAATGAATTCCCCAAAGAATCAGGTTATAATTGCGATGTATATATTCGCGATCTTTCTTCATGTGTGTACGTAAAACCCACACTTATAAACAAAACTTTCTCAACGTACGTTTTTACAACTGCCCCTTTGAGTTTTAGGTTTACCAAAACGATGCCAAAGTCATTAGTTCAACAGTAATAACTGCTTTTGTTATGAACCGGGAGCCTCGGCACGTTGGATGACGACACTCGCTAGCGGAGTTTCCATTGGCCACTGCTCCACCGGAAGTAGACTACGACCACCTACTCTCGTCTCTTTGCTCCGTGGCATTTTGCAGCAGAAGCTACCTGCAGACGCCTTTTTTCAGACCGAACCGGCGGCGACAAGATGAGGCAGGAATGGACTTAAGCATTAGGGGGTGAGGGTTTTTTTTTTTTGTTTACACTATTAGCGATTGACGGGTACTGTCGGGTACAAATAACCTGAGGCGAAGAGAAGCTCCGAATATGGGCAAGATAGTCATAGAACCACTTGTACATCCGGTTGAATTTTTTCAAAATAATTAATTAATTAGTTCTTCTGTTAAATGTAAACCAAGGTTTATAAGGCGCCCAAAAAGTTAAATAGCTTCATTTTGTGTGTATCAACCTATAAATGTCTTGTAATTTCCAATGTCTTAAGAACTCTTATGTAAGGATGGAAATGGTCCATATTAAGAGCCTCCATGTGAAAATTTGAGGATAATTACCCCCCTAATTATTAGAAGTGATTTGATGTATGTTAGTGATAGCATGCATTTGCATCCATTTTTTTAATGGTTCCCATTATAACAGTGAAAATAAACATATGTAACCTGTGATCTGTCTGGTTCCAAAGCCACATAGCTAACAGCGCACAATCTGACTGACCTTAACTTTTTTGTAACTTTTTATAATATTGCATTTCTGTTTGTAACACTGCAAAATGTGAATTCCTGTTTGGAGTGTTGGGGAAGCCACAAAAAAAAAAATAATCCAGCAGGCAGTTGCTGCCATAAACACTTTCTTTTTAAAAAAAGTCCTGCACACTTTGTCAGCGAAAAATCCCCATGTTTAGTATTTATGGTATTTCAATTTACAAGTTAAAAAAATATGCATTAGATTGTTAAATCTTACTCCATTCAGAAAATATGGAAAGAAAAAAAATCTGTCAAACCTTGGTAAGGGAAATCGAGTAGTTTTTATGGTTTCTAGCTCTGCATGGTGAAACATGGGGGGTCCACCGATTTTCATTACATGAGTCTTGACATTGAATTACACTCTTGAGGCCCTGTGAAAACAGTTGGTGTCAGAGTAAGAAAACAGAATAAATTTATGAGCCCAGGATTGATGTTGTGTGCCCTTTAAAAATGGACTGTCAGTAAAAACAGCTAAAGGACTGGATACCAAAGACTTCCCCTCTGTCGTTTTTAAACTGCGTGTGCAGGGACTATTTATTTTCCATCTCACTAAAATGCTCAAAAACAACCCATGTCTCGGTGTGTAATGCCCCTATTTTGACTGATCGACTTTTGCATTGTGTTTTATCGAGGCTCAAGTGAGCAACGGCTTTGTTTTGAAAAGAGCATGGCTACACCGGAAGTGGCTTTCCGTTAGCTTTCCGTAACGCTCGCCCACCAGTGTGGCGTGTGCTGTTGTTTGGTAGGGGGCAGGCTGCCTTGTGCTAGCTGCCCAGGTGTAGCTGCCACGAGATTTTCTGTCTTCAAACGGAACTCTTTAAAAATGTTCCATCTTCGCCGAAGCCGGAAGCGCTGAACGCGAAGTTCGGAGAATGAAACTGGATCTAGCAGCTCGGTTAAGTACTCAGTTCACATGATAACACAGTGCTGCAGCATTATAAGTCCCATTGGTGGATTATCTGCCGTTATCCTGTGTGTTTATCTGACCCATTTACCTGTACGTCCGTACGTTGTTTTTAATTTACAATTTCAACTCTTTTCTCCTTCACAGGTAATTATTCCACACAGAGGGGGTTTATGAGCCAGCTGGGGCCAAGAAGCAAGATCCTCCCATGAAAATGACCTAATTGTAATTTTGATTTCACTGAGACTGTGTTTCTAATCATATTCTGAGTGATGTGATGTGATCGGAGGGAAAAAGGGGGATGCAGATTTGCCCGCTATAGGCGTTGGGAAGACGCGATGCCCAGGCGGGGGTTGCCCCTCCAGGGCCGGCTCCGCTGGCTCTTCCTGGGCCTCTTCCTGCTGCTGGTGTTGCTGCTGTTCGCCTACCTGCTGGAGTGCACGCCGCCGGCGGACGGCAGCCTGGTCCTGCCCGGCCTGGTGGGGGAGAGCTACGGGAAGGAGTACTACCAGGCCCTGCTGCAGGAGCAGGAGGAGCGCCACCTGAGCCGCGCCGCCAGCCTCAAGCGGCAGATCGCCCAGCTCAAGCAGGAGCTCCAGGAGATGAGCGAGAAGCTCAAGCTCCTCCAGGACAAGAAGGAGCCCCCCGGGGCGCAGGGCCTGGGGGAGAACAGAGACCAAGAGCCGGGAGACCTGCTGGAGTTCCTGCACTCCCAGATCGACAAGGCGGAGGTCAACACGGGGGCGCGGCTGCCCAGCGAGTACGCCCTGGTGCCCTTCCAGAGCTTCACCTCCTCCAAGGTCTACCAGCTGGAGATGGGGCTGACGCGGCACCCGGAGGAGAAGCCGGTCCGCAAGGACCGCAGGGACGAGCTGGTGGAGGTCATCGAGGCCGCCCTGGACATCATCAACAACCCCGACGAGGAGGATGGCGTGGAGGACGACGTGCCCATGCAGAGGCAGTCCTACACGGAGAGCCACTTCACCGAAGGTAAGTGGCCCCGCCCACAGGCCACCGGCCAGCCCAGGGAGAGTCTTTCAGTTGGGTCTTTGGTTGGGGCAGGCCTGTACAGGACGGAGCGGGACAAAGGGACGCTCTACGAGCTCTTCTTCGCCAAAGAGGAGTCCAGCAGCTTCCGCCACGTCACGCTCTTCCGCCCCTTCGGCCCCATCATGAAGGTCAGGAGCACGTCCGTGGAGACGTCGGGAACGGTCATAAACCTCATCGTGCCTCTGGCGGGCCGAGTCGACACCTTCTCGCAGTTCCTGCAGAACTTCAGGTGAGCGTGAAACGAGACCCAGCACGCCATGTTTAGGGCCGGCCAGCTTTTTCTTACCGTTAATCGCGTAAGAAGACGCCGTCTTTAAAAAAAAAAAAGAGAAAGAAAAACAATCCTTTTGTCTCCTCAGGGAGGTGTGCATACAGCAGGACAGGCGGGTTCATCTCACAGTGGTTTATTTTGGCCAGGAGGGCCTCCAGGAGGTGAAGTCATCTGTGGAAAAAATGTCAAGGTTGGAGCTCCTCGCCTCCTTCTGTGCTCGTTGTTGACTCGGTTTTTCACAATGTGGCAGTTTAAAAAAAAAAAAAATTGAGACAAAAAACCTTTGGCTCCGCAGGGACGAGAGCTTCTCCAATTACACCCTGATCCCGGTGGACGAAGAGTTCTCCCGCGGCCGCGGCCTGGACATCGGCGCCCACGCCTGGACCAAGGGGGACGTGCTGATGTTCTTCTGCGACGTGGACATTCACTTCACGCTGGAGTTCCTCAACGCCTGCCGCCTTCACGCCGCTCCCAGTAGGTGTCTGCCGGGGCCGGGGGTTTCGGGGGGGGGTTCCGGTGCACAGCGCAAAGGGTGAAATGTGGCGCTCGCTTCTCTTTTCGCAGACAAGAAGGTCTTCTATCCAGTGGTGTTTAGTCTGTACAATCCCGCCATAGTTTACGGAAATTTGGAGCTGGCTCCACCCATCGACCTCCAGCTGGTAAGACGGGCGAGGGCTTATTCTCCTTTCATACATAGGAAAGATTCTATCATTCTCTCTTTGACCACCTGTCCTGTTGTGGTTCAGATCCACAAAAAAGACGCCGGATTCTGGAGAGACTTTGGCTTTGGAATGACCTGTCAGTATCGCTCCGATTTTCTCAACATCGGTAAGCAGCAGACATTTGGTCTGAACGATTGGAAGCGGCTGCTGGCGTGTTAAAGCATTCCCGCAAATGGATGCTTGCTTTGTTTCTCTTCCGCCAGGTGGCTTCGACCTGGAAGTCAAAGGCTGGGGAGTAGAAGACGTCCACTTGTACAGGAAGTATCTCCGGAGCGAGCTGATCGTGATCCGGACCCCCGTGTCGGGTCTGTTCCACCTCTGGCACGAGAAGCAGTGCGCCGACGAGCTGACGCCGGAGCAGTACCGCATGTGCATCCAGTCCAAAGCCATGAACGAGGCCTCCCACTCCCACCTGGGCATGCTGGTGTTCCGGGAGGAGATCGAGGCTCACCTACGCAAGCAGGCCTTCAAGACTCAGAGCAAGTCGGAGGATTGAGCAAGCCTGGGAAGCCCAACACCAACCCCCCCCCCTCCTCCCCCTCTTAAGACTGCGGGGTGCCGACGTCGTTTCGACACCTCGCCACAGACATGTTTACACGGATCCTTCTGTATTTCACTGCACAGCTGTAGACAAATGAATGTACAAAAAAAAAAAAAAAAGACGCCGAGCAAAGCGAAACGTCACCACAACGGTACACGTCTCACAGAGGAGCTACAGCCGTAAACGATCCAAAATCAGCAATATTTAACCCGTCGAAGGAGGACAAGTAAAACAAACAGAGCTAAACAAACAAAGCGGTATTGTGTCCGTGTGGATGGAGGCCACCTTTGTTTTTTTTTTGTTTTTTTACATTTCAAACTTCAGCCTAAAAGCGGCACACCGCGCAAAGCATACAGATGTGGGTCCGAGGGACACAAAGCTGTCAGAAAACCATCCAAACGCCTGGAGCGCAGCAGCCCACGGGCAGCCGGCTTCCTGCACAGCGCTGCTGCTTCATTTCTGAATGTGATCTTTACCGATTCTCGCCGTCTCAGAGGACCTTGCATTCCAAAACCGTATCAAAAGTTGTCAAAGACAGCAATGTTCACAGGTTTTTGTTTTAGTTTTTTTTTTACATCATTTTTTCATAAATGGAGCAAAAGATGGTTCCCAAAGGTATTTGTAATTTATTTGTTGCACTTACTCGTAATGGAGGTTGAATATAATATAATTTGAGAACTGGAATATCTGCTCAAGACCCTTCCTTTAGGTCAAAGCAATGTACAATCTTTAAACTCGTCTACACTATAATGGCAGTTGTGTCTGGAGCCATAATGATCTGTTCGCGTTCTATTTTATAGGCTCTCTGGTTGGGCTATAGGAGGACAAAAGGGACCCGTTTGTTTTGTTTTTTTGTTTGACAGTGTTAAAGCGTCAGAAAAGGTGATGACATAGTTTGAGAGCAGTGTTCTTGCAAAACTTACAGTATCGGGTGTACCCGCCTGAGCTGCCCTCCACGCTCAGGGTCCCCATACTGAGACTGAATGTTACGGTCACTCTTGTAAATATTTTCAGAAAAGCTGGATATTTTTTGCTCAAACGTGCCTACGGTTTCTAAATAATTTGACACGCCGACTAGATTGTTTTGCATATGGTAAAAATTCCGTTGACAGCTGTTTTTGGTTTTGTTTTTATATACGTTGATCATCTGGCAATGAAGGAGGATGCTACACCACAGATGGTTAACAGACAGGTTGGTGGTAAAAAAAAACATTTTAAAAAAGGTGCTTTTTTTCTCTGTCTCATACAGAAACAGGTAGTTTTTGCATCATATCCTGTGCCGTAATTCGTTTTAAACCAGGCTTTTTGCTAATAATCCAGCTTCTTCTGTAGACATTCCACAAGCCTCCTCTCACTACAGGAGAAAAAGTCTTCCAGTCAGCAATGCAGAAATCAGCAAAAGAAAAACTTGAGCTAAGTAATGATTTATTTTGAGATTTTGGCTGTGAAATAAAACTTACAGAGGGTTGCATTTTCTGATCCTACATCATTTCTGTCCTTAACACTTGATCTGGTGCATACTTTTTGTTAGTAAATTCAACCAGTTCTATAACATGTTATAAAAATGTCATATCAAACATGTCAAGTCTTTGAATCTACCAGCTCATTTCTGTTTCTTAATTTAAGACAAATGGCATAATACAAATGTATTATTGATCTGTATACAATAAACTACATCAATAAAATAAAAGGAAAATAATAGAAAACTCAAAATCGAAGTAACCTGGCATGAAGTAAACTGAATGGGAAGGATTCAGACAGGTCCGGTTGAAAGGTTTTAATGAGCCACCTGTTCTGGATGGATCCCCATGGACTTGTAGATTTCTTTGAGAAGAAGAAGAGTTGTGTCTTCAGATTGCCTAAAAAAAAACAAAATAATAAATTGGGTTTCAGTCACGATGGAGCCACAGGGGAGACAACCAGTATTCTTCAGAAACAGCTAGATAAATTGTTGACATCATTTGTCCACAAATGGTTTCTTTCTGCACAGCGTTCAGTCGTGAGAAGCTGAATTTGTCCCAGTAAAATACCACAAACTTTTCAGATAAACAGTGATGGAGAGCGACAGTGGCTAGAAGTAAATCCTGCAAAAGCTGTTGAAGAATGTGGGAAAGACTGGGGCGTTCACTCTTGCCTCTCCAGCTATAAATCTGATGGGATGTGATGGCATCTTTGTGAAGCCACAGAAAAAAAGACCTCACACAAAAAGCACCAGGGGCCAGGAGGACCTTTTTGCTCATGCCCCAAACAGTGAAAGAAGCCTGCTGTCACACACTGTGTCCAACAGACAAAAATCAGCCTATTCTTTTTCTGCTAAGAATATTTCAAGCCCTCAACAACTGAATGAAAGGCAATTTCAACAAATGGCTTGATTACATCAGCTCATAGGCTGCTTCAGTATAAGTTCAAGGTTTCGGTTGTAGATATGACGCATAGGTACCAGTAGCAGAGATGACTCTGAAGTGCAAACAGATACTCGTTGAAGCTCTCGATGGGTTTCTCCTGGAGGACGTAGTCGATCCGATTCCCTCCATTAAGCATCCCGATCTTCACTTCAGGCTCCTCCTCTCTTTGTGGCTCAGGGCTTTCAGGCACCTTGTGCTCTGTGGCCGGCCAAAAGAAAGTAGTCAGCCTTACATATATACACAATGGCTTGAAAGGTCACACATGGGGGGCAGCTTACCCTGCTGCACGTGCTTCTCCTCCTCTTCTATCTGATTGGCCACCATGGCCAGCTCTGCCTGTAGAGCGGATGATGTGTGAGCCCGGGCGAACTCATTCAGGGTCTGCCAGGCGCTCCTCAGGGAGCTGATGAAACCGTGCTTCAGGTCTGATCCCATCCTGGAGAGACTCTCCTTCAGCTCTGAAAACACAGGGAGCCGTTGTTCAATCCACCACTCAATACAAATTCTCCTGCCATTGACAAGACCGGAGGTTTTGGGGCCTGTGATCTGATCACACTGGGACTCTTGCTAGCAGATGATTATGATGCTCAGATTGAGTTTTCATTCATTTTTGTTAAGCAGACATGCTTACATCCTTTTTGGCTTGCTTAGTTGAGTTTATTAACATACAAAAGCATATCAGAAAAGTCCTGATAGGATGCAGGTTAGCACCAAATAAAGAGTTGGAGGGGCCATGCTGAGATCCATTAACACAATGCTTAACTAAAAGGTTATGGAAACAGTTCTGAAGGTCTTAGTTTACTTAACAGAAATTTGTCGTGGCAATGAAAAAAAACTCCATCCTACCAAGGTGAAGCCTCTTCCTTCCTTTGTAATGTGGGATCAAAACAGGCTTCAGATCCAGTTCTGGCACTATCATGGGCTCAATCCTGTATGCCACAGGGTCCAACTAAAAAAAGGGGAGACAAAACTTTTTGAGCATGTTAAGCCAATCCAGCTGGAACTTCCTAAGGAAACAAATGCTCACTGGATGGTAAATGTTGAAGAACCCTTTGCATGTGGGCAGCTGGTATGTCTCATCAATCTTCTCCTGCCCTCGGACTGTCAAGAACACGCCAATCGGAGAACCCAGGGCGAAGAAATTATCCGGCTCAAAATCCAAAGAGGGGTATACCACAGACACCTGCAAAGGGAAGACTGTCACTGTCAAGCCGATTCATTCCATAAGCGTTTGCCTTTTTTGAGCAGCTGCAACAGCTTTCCTCCTTAGTTAGATTTACCTGTCCGGTCCCGACTTCAAAGTAATCATAGTTGACGTGGACCGAGGACACGGTGTGGCCCACTGGAGGCCTCTTTATGGACGGGTCGGTGGCATCCACAGCTGCTGGTGCTGTCGTGGCTGCCTGAGCGTCCACTTTGACCTCGGCTTTCTTCTCCTGAGCTGCCCGACGTGCAGCCTGCAGCACAGGGCACCCCCACAAAGTGTCAAGGGTTGTCAGCACCATCAGGTTGAACCGTCACTGACACTCGGGTAACAAACACTCACCTGTCTCTTCGTCCTTTCTTCAACAAACTTGGCAATCTTCTTCCTGGGTCCCATCGGGAGGCCCATCTCTTTAAGGTCCCCAATGGTGCACATGAGCTGGAAGAACGTGTGAGGGGGCTAATCAAAACTAGCAATAGGATCTTGTGAGAAAGAGTGTGATTACTATCTTTGGGAAAAGAACACAATGATGCAAACACAAGAAGAAAAATATTCTCACAAAAGATTCAATGTCAATCTTCTCCTCGTCAAAGGTGCTCTTGTATTCCGACAGGCCCAAATGTTGCAGCACGGCCGCCAGATCCTGGAATTCCTCCTCCTCCTCCTCTTTGCTCAGCTCTTCCACAGCGGGAGGGGGGACTGCGTTACTCCCTGATATGGCTGGAGCTGTCGCCTGATATGAGGGGAAGATTTACAATTTACTGCAACCAGCGCCGACACACTGTGTCACTTCGGCATCAGCCCAGGGACGAAAGAAAGGGCAAAAGTGCAAGTGCTCGAGGGGGAAAAGAAAGACCTTATCTTTCATGACTGTTATACAACGAGTCTGATAAAACATGGAGCCTTAATTACAATGTTTTATGTTTGCAAACGTTTCCAAATGCCAAACAACACAATTTATGACAGCGTATTTCAGAGGCTGAAGTGACCTGTTTGTTTTCTTCACTGGCGGTGGGTGCAGATGGCACCACCATCCCAAGAGAAGCAGACTTCTGGTTGGAAAGCAGGTCAAAGAGAATCAGGGAGCCTGCGAGAAAAAATAAATAAATAAAATGACTAGGGCAAAGGGTGAAGAAACCTTGAACTAGTGGTCTGGCAGGTGATGAAGTACATTCTCACCCAAGCTGTGTCCTGCCACTGATACTCTTCCTTTGTAGTCCGGGTTCCTCTCCATAAACAGAGCGAAAAGTCTGTTAATCTCCTGAGCAACGGTGTCCATGATGGTCTGGCAATAAGTGGGGCTGTTGTAGTAAAGCACATCTAACAGAGTCTCGTTTGTGAAGTGGCGTAAACGGCCGGTGCTGGGCAAGGTGATCTTCTTTATCCTCCTGCAGAGAAAACACAAGAACAGTCAACTGTGTGATGCTATGACTATTGGTCAGGTGAATTAGAGGGTTCCCCCAAGAAGGTGTCACCATCATTGGTTTGGGGTGAGGAAGAGTCCTTACTTTCACTTATTATTACACATAGGTTACACAGATAAAAGCTTCTTTACAACCAGAGTCTGCTGCTGTGAGGTCAATGGATCACAGCAAATACCCAGTCGGGTTTTTTCCACACAGATTATTTTTACAAAAGTTCAGAAAACCCACACACATACGGCAACATCACATAACCCCCCCCCCCCCCCGCCTCTCCTCACCTGTCCACCCCCGTAGCATCTCCGTGTAGAGCGGTGTGCCACCGGACGGGTAGGAACTCCACTCGGCTAATGGCGTGCTCGTCCAGTGATTTCTTAAAGTGACTGTGCAGCAGCTTGAGAGACACACTTCGGAAGTCGTCCACTGAAGGCACAAGAATGGCGTCTGTCATTAAACTGGTGCTTCTCTTTAGTAACGTTAAAAGGAAACGTACGGGACTCACCGCACTCAATCATGCTTCGAAACCTCAGGTCGCACACAGGACCGATCCCATGAACCATAAACACCAGATGGTCCACCTTGGGAAGCTCACCTGGAGGAATAGGCACATAACTGAGCTGTGGCATTTTGTTTTCCATGGTAACGGATACCATGAATATAATTTTTGGATTAAGGGATTAGATTAAATTGATTCAAATATAAAAGGAGCCCACTACCATCTGGTACTTCATCGTGATCATCGTCGATCCCTCTCTTCACCACTCTGGGCCGGGTCTGCCCATCCTGAGTGGTTCCCCACTCATCTGGTATGGATGAGGGCTGAAACTGCACTATGACCTGCAAAGGTAAACAGATAAACCTTTATAGCTATACAAAGCAAACTAAGGTGGCTAACTACATCGATTAACGACACTGAGACATGGGCTTGCCTTTGGATTGTGCATGACAATGGTCTCTCCAGATGGGAATTCCAGTCTACGATGCCACTGGTTTGTAGACACAGCTTTCTTATATTCTGCCTGAGGCAGCCAGAGAGCGTAGAGTGTGTTACTTCATATACAAAGGAAACCTTCACAACTGACGTGTTCCTGGGAACACCAGTGTAACAAACTCGTTCAGTGGCTACTGACCTCCAGCTTCTCACTGAACTCCTCAGAGTACGGAACAAAGCGACTATCCGAGTCCCCTTTGTAGAACCAGGAGCAGCGCCGGACCTCTGTGGGCTCTTCCTCCCAATAGACTGCACTCTTGACGCGATCATAGAGCTGCACGTCGTAACGCCCTCCATCTGTTCGCACGACCACGTTCTCTGGGTCTGGTTGAACTGGAATTAACAGATTAATGTTAAGTGACGACCTTTCAGCTCCATCGGAGCACCATTACGATGACACGGTCACATTTGCGCAGATGGGTGCCGACAAACCTGAGTTGTACGTCTCCTCGAGCTGAAGGGAGTCTATGATGCTGAAAGGGAGCCAGACGCTCTTTGACTCCACCTGCTTGCAGTAAAACCAGTGAGGCTGAATGGGCTCGTAGATGTTGTAGTTGTACTGCATCATGGGACCTGCGGGAACGATGGCTCCGGCCGTGGTGGGTGGAGGCGGACGTCCCTGAATATATGAAGGAGGAGCCTGAAAAAAACCCCCAAATAGGTGTTTTATAACCTAAATATAAACCCCTCCAATAGCTGCAAGACAGCTTTACCAACCTGTGGGGGGCCTGATGGTGGGAACATCTGCGGCGGGGTGGCGAGGGGGTAGGGATTCTGCTGAGGTGTGTGTGTTGGTGGCAAGATCTCTGGGGCTGGAATGTAAGGACTGGCTCTGCTGCTGGTGGGAGTATGTCTGTATGGGTTATGACTCTGCTGCTGCATTTGGGGTGGTGGAGGGGTCATCGTGGCAGGAGGAGGAGTGTGACGCCCAACAGGACTTTGGTAAACTGCACCGCCGAACGCTGAGGGAGCAGGGCTCATTTGTGAGCCTGATGATGGCGGCAAAGCCATGCCGACGCAGCTGGGGAGGGAAACGGGTCCTGTTGCTGTCGGAGCTGCAGACAGCGCTGGTGGTGGGCATGTTGACTGGCCTATGGATGCGAATGGGTCAGAGGTGGTAACGGGGCTGGAAAAGTAGCTAAATGTGGAGGAGGCAGCTGGTCCATTCCCAGAGTTCTGACCAAGAAAACTGTCTTCCTCACCAACATCAGTGGAATCATCTAATGGGCATAGAACAACAATATTGTTCAACAGTGTTAAAAACACTGTTTGCAATTACACACCACACACAATTTCACATTCAAAAATCAAGAGTGGCCATCAAAAGATAAATATATCAAATGAATATCAGGAAAATAATATGGTTGCCAACAGGAAGATAAGCAGTCTTCATATTAAGTGTTTTGAAAGATAGTCCACCAAAACAAATAAAACGTTGGCAGTCCAACCCAACAAACGAAAACGAATTAGTCCAACACAAGTCCACTAGTACACACAAACGACTAAGTACACGTACACACTTTTTGTTCCTCTTTCATTCTCTGTTACATTCATTACAGCTGACAGCAGCAAATGAACCCGGTAAGCTAGCTAGCCTAGCTCGGACTGCTGACGACCTCACTGTTTTTAAGGCATTTAACTCGGTCGGTGTTTTTCCTCACCTCCTGACAACACAGCCGGACCCGTGGCCTGGCTCACTGGCATGAAAGGCAAATTGAAGTTAAACTCCGGGGCGGCATTGAACAGTAAATTCGAACCGGTGTTAGAAGCATTATTATTTTTCCTATCTGCCATTTTCCCCTACAATTACACGTAGCCACAGCCGGAGCAAGCTGGCAGCTCGCACTGCGTCCTGCGAGAAGCGTTTTCTCCGCGCTAACACGTTACACTGATCTCTAACACACTTCCGTGTTTTTTCATAGGGTGAACACCAGGACATATGACATATAGATCTACAAAAACAACGCAGGCTTCTTTACGGTAACTCAATGGTAGTATAAAAAATTTGAGCTGTCTATAACTACTGCCACCTGCTGGCTAGGAAGATCGTTTAAACACTCTGATTTATTTTAAACTTTACTCGAGGGTTTATTTTAAGACTATTATACTTATTATACTACTTATTGTAAATGACGCCTCTTAACAAAATCAGGAACAGCTCTACTGCTGCACCACCACAACAAGTGTTGATAGACTCCGTCCCCCCGGACTGTCCCCGCGTTTAAAACAAGCTAAATACGCTCCACGACCAGTGACGCAAATTTCCCGCCCTCATTTCTGCACTCTTCTGTGAGCCGAAAGTCAACAAACTAGTAGATTGGGATAGGTTTTACTCGAATATATTTTACATTCTGCCGGAATTTGTTCAAGTGTTTACGATGCCTTCCACACAGGATTGGATAAGCGACCCTATGGGTGTTGTTGAAGGGATGTTCGGTGAGACGCTTCTAAACTCTGTGACAGCTAACGTTGACTCGTGAGACTTAGCTAGCTAGCCAGCCGCACATCACACCGAGCTGCACTTTCATTACTTGACTACATTGTCTGGTGAAGTAACCGCCAGCTTTGTTTCATGACAGTCTGCACCCGCACCTGTTCAGAGTACACAAAGATGATAGCTACCCGAATTAAAACAGAAAAGCCAGAACTTGAGACCGCAATTGGTCAAACTCGCCTCAAGAAACGTGTCCTCAGAAAAAGGCTGTTTCGGATTTAGAAGCGTTGCATTCGTGGCTCTATTTAACGTGGAACAGAACGCTGAGAAGCAGTTAAAAACTCAAATCTAAACAATAGAAATAACCCCTCTTTGTAACTTTGTGATGCGGATAGAATGAGGAATTGAGACCGGAAGTTGTAACCAGTTTAAGTAAAAATTAAGAGGTGATCGAAGTTTTCAGGTGACAGCTTTTAGTGACGTTATTTCACATGAAACATTCTAATACGGCTCATTAATCAAATTTAGACTATTCACTTACTTTTAGTTGTTTTTTTTTCAAATGCATTTTGATGCCCTTTTTCCTAGAACTGTCTCTAAGCTGTAACCTTTTTGCTGCCATTTCAACAACAAATAACACGGTCACCTCCCCGCAATCGTAGCTGCCTCCCAGAACAGTCCGAGCTCAGCATGGGAGGCACAGGCTGTGGAATTTTTCAAAGACCACCTGAAAGAGGAGAACGCTCAGATGATGGTAACCCGCCTTCCATCACACCCAGACGCCGGTAAACTCCCCTTTGGGCACACTGGCTCCTGGGTAACCGCCCCCCCCCCCCCCCCCCCCCCCCTCCCGGGCGCCCCCCCCTTCCCTCCACCCCCCCCCCCCCCCCCCCTTTGTCTGGACGCAGGTTCCGTCTCTGAACGACGTCCCCCTGCACTACCTGAAGCCCGACAGCCTGGTGAAGTTCCGCTGCCTGATCCAGGACATGTTCGATCCAGAGTTCTACATGGGAGTGTATGAGACTGCTAGTCCTTCCACACAGGCTAAAGTGCGTGCCTACCCGCCCTCCCTTTTAGTGGAGACATTTGCATATGCGGAGAGCTCTGCTCCTGTGCTCTCTCGTTTGCATTTGTGTGATACAGAGCAGAATGTCACCGTGTTCTATTGTTGTCTGATCATCTCCAGATTCTGCGTTGTGGGAAGTACAAAGACGTGACAGAGTCTGGGGTGAGTTTCTCTCTGCCCGGGCGAGCAGGGGCTCCTGAAGGGTTTCGGCTGGGCTTCAACGCTGCTGTGAGTTTATTTTTGTTTTTGTTTTTCTTCATCTCCAGGTGGATTTTAACTCCAGGAACACGGTGACGGCAGAGAGGCAGACGTTCTACTGCGTGCCGATCCCCGGCGAGAATCAGTGGGTGAAGGAGATATCCTTGTGGGATTTGTTGGTGGAAGCCTCCCGCGGTTAAGTCTGCCGCCAGCTGCGTCGCGCTCCTTAATCCATCTGCACAGGTACGCCGGCGGCAGCCAGGCCAGGGTCGTCCCCTCCACCTCGTACGTGCCCAGCCGGCAGAAGAGGAGCTACGAGGAAGATGACGACATGGACACTCAGCCGCAGAAGCAGCGGGACCCGCATGCCGGTGGGGGCTGCGCTTCTGTGTCTTTGTCATTCGGCCCGCTTTTTCCCCCTTACATTTCTTTGGTTTTTTTTTGGGTGCATCACACCACAGGTCCTCAGAGCCCTCTGGAGCAGCACGGCAACGGCGACTGCAAGCGGCAGGAGACGGAGGCTCCCTCGAGCCAGGCCGCGTCGGCATCCCACCTGGACCTGAATTTCCCCCTCCCGGGAGAAAAGGGCCCCTCCTGCCTGCTCAAGGCGTGTCCCGCCTCACTGTTCCCTGCCATTTTTACAACTGTCGTCTGCAGACCTTTCAGGTCTAAAAGTGTGTGTGTGTGTGTGTGTGTGTGTTGTTTTTCCAGGTGTACGAGGAGTGGGACAGCTTCAAACTGAACGACACGCTGGAGGTCTACGGCATCCTGTCGGTCAGCCCGGCTCTGAGCGCGCTGGCCGATGAGAAGTGAGACCTTTAACTTGGCGCCGTGGCAC